AAAGAATACGATTAGTGGAGTCGAAGAGAAAACACGAAATGCAAGATTCTTTGAGTCGTTTCTTGTTTTCAAGTTGATGGAATTTTCCCGGTCCTAAGTAATAGAGATAGTTTATTTATTGATCCAACATACATTACATTGTGGGTCAGACGAAAAATTTCGGTTGGACTTCAGATGCGGTGGCGGTGGCACGGTGAAAATATTGAAAGTGCACAGATGCACACATTTTTTAGTGTTTTTTATTTTCTTTTTAAGGATCCATCCATCGCATCGGAGATAAAATGAGAGGCGGGGGACGGGGATACTTAAGCGTGCCGAAACTTGCTGTTACTTCGGTCTAAGGCCGAACTCAGTGGTCTTACGCGTTGGAAAAATTAATCCCGAAGTGTTTTTTATTTTCTTGTTGAGTTTTTACTATTCTTAGATACTTAAAGGCACATGATTCTCAAGGATGATGCTTTACTTATTGTTCTTGGATACTTAAGCATGCTAGGCTCTTACCCATGACCCAATGTTCGAAGGGTCCTAGTTTTTTTTTAATGAAATATATATATATATATATATATATATATATATATATATATATATATATATATATATAAAAGCAAAATTCAAACACATGACCTTAAATTTATTATTTAGGGTGCGTTTGGGAACTCAGAAATCATTTTATGAGTTTCTCGTGCTTGGCTAAAGGGGGGAAATGGAAGTCAGTGGAAAATAGGGGTGTGGTCAATGAAAAATAGAGGGAATTTTCCAGAAAATGACTTCCCCTTTTTTAGAGAAGTCATTTTCCGTTTGAAGATGTGGAGCAGCCAATCACCTGCCGCCGCCACCACCATCATTGTATATTTTAAATATTTAAAATAAAAAATAATTATGTTCAATTTTCAGAAAATAAAGCAAACACACCAATACAGTTTTCTAGAATGCAACAAAACACTATGAATGAAAATATTTTTTAGAAAATGAGTCATCTTCCAAAAACTAATTTTCAGAAGTTATTTTCCTACTTTCCAAACACGCTCTTAATATTGATTCCGTTCGCCATCAATCCATCACATCCCTTTGAAATAATAATTCAATCAATACACACACATTTGACGTATATATGGAAAACATTAAATACATTTATAATTAAATTTCATATATGGACTCAATACTTTGATGGCCACTCATTCAATACTAGTCCATTGGATATTTTTTAATAGTTTTAAAATATATTTTTTTCGATTGAGAATGAGGGGATCACCCAAAGAAACACACTCAGCTCTCAACTTCCATAACCACCCTTTGGTCCACTTGACCCACACTACCCCCCCAAATGATGCTAGCTAACACATTGGCGGAGTCACATAGTTTCTTTTTTCCTCTGTCATGAAACCTAGCAAGTTTGGCAAACCCGTCACAAATGCCTTTTTAATAGTTCCCTGCAATGTTGTGTCTCGTCCTTCCTCCAGTTGCCTACTTAATAAGATGCACCATTGCACCTTCGAGTCTACTTCCAATATTATCTTATGGTAGCCATTGTTTCAGGCCATGTTCAGCTCATCCAACACCCCCAGAGTTCTACTTCATTTTTAATTAGTATTTGCACCCCTAGTGTGTATGCCCGCACAAGAGCAAACATTATTACAATATACTTGTTAAGAAATGCAAATGTTTATAAATTAATCCACACCCATATGTTACTCTAATGTGGGACATTGTTTTTTTTTTTTCATGAACTTGATGAGTGCAATTTGATAACCATTTTTTTTTCATTCATCTATTAACTATTGTTAAGCATATAAGTATACAAAATTAATATTATAACACGTGAGAATACAAATCTACAAATATCTTATTAAAATTGTTAGGTAGACCATATTTAAAACCATACATTAGTATAGCTAATTATAACCTAATTTTTAAACAAGTCCTCAAGTTGGCAAATAAACATTACATTTGATCCCCAAATGAGAAAAGTCATAGTGCAATTAGAGTGAAAAAACAATATTAATAGCTAGTAGCAAAATGTTTGATTGTGATGACACTTAAAGTTATACGATTTTTATTGTGCTTATTTTGTATATACTGTGATCTAAAGCATAATTGGATATAAACTTAAACAAACAAATAAAGCGAAGGTGCTTTGAGAAACTGAGCTCATTATACTTTATATATAATTAAGAATGAAATTAATTGGGTTGTCTAGCCATATTTATTATTCAAGATTATTTTTAATACAAAAATTTAAATATTAAGATTTAAATTAGAATTAATTTCACTTTTGGTCCCACGACTTTTGATGTTCAAACAAATAAAGCGAAGGTGCTTTGAGAAACTGAGCTCATTATACTTTATATATAATTAAGAATGAAATTAATTGGGTTGTCTAGCCATATTTATTATTCAAGATTATTTTTAATACAAAAATTTAAATATTAAGATTTAAATTAGAATTAATTTCACTTTTGGTCCCACGACTTTTGATGTTCTATCACTTTTGGTGCACAACTTTAAAATTTTTTAATTTTGGTGCCTAACTTTGTTATTTTTATCAATTTTGGTCCTTTTGGCCAAATTAACAGCGAAGTGTTGCTGGATTTTATATTTTAGGGGTAAAATTGTCATCCCAAGGAAACATCTTCAATATCTAAACAAAATCACTGTAAAATCATATCTATAGGTGTTTGATCGATGAGAATAATGGGGAAGACGGGCAGGAACCAGACAGATCTATGGGATTTATAGTTTCGACCATTGGCAAACTCTTCTTTTCCTCTTAATATGATTTTTCTTTTGTTTAAATATTGAAGATCTTTTCATAGAATGACGATTTTGCCCCTAAAATATAAAATTCAAAAATATTTTACCGTCAATTTGGCTGGAAGGACCAAAACTGAAAAAAATAACAAAGTTAGGCACCAAAATTGAAAAAATTTAAAGTTGTGCACCAAAAGTGATAAGAACTCAAAAGTCGTGGGACCAAAAGTGAAATTAATTCTTTAAATTATAAGTAACTTAAGTTTCAATTTGCTAACTGAACTCAACACATAAATGAGATGAACAAAGTATATATATTATTGTTTGCAAAAAAAAAAAAAAAAAGAAGTATATATATTATATGTATTGTTTTAAATATATATGTTGTTGGGTTTTGGCCCAAGGTTCTTGTAATTATAACATTTAAATGATTGAGATTATAAGAGAAACATAAGATAATAAATAATGAAGTAATGTTTATACCATGGATGATGGATATGGTTTTTGTTGCAAGATGGAGGATTGATACATACTCATTTTTAGCACATTTTAAATTTATCTTTAGTGTATTACATTTTTATTTTGGCTGGCAAGTTGCAATACAATAAAAATGAACATTGATACAAATATACTGATTCTAATAAAAATGAAACATATAATACAATAAAAAATGCAAAGCCTATATCGCAATATGGATTGCATAATGCATGATATAATTTGGCATAACGAGGGAGAATTCCTCATCTCCAAATGACAAGTTTGCAATATGTTAGTTTACAATGGTATTATCGCTCTATAATGGGTGACCCACTTTCTTTAATCATTTAATGACTTATTTATATCCGGGGTGGGCCTTGTCCCTCTCCTTAGGGCAATGAGGACCTTGTATCAGTTTATGGCGACATCCCATACTCCACATTATGTTTGGACTGTTATTAAATATATGAGCTTGTTATTGAGGGGTGTTGTTATTCCTTCATTGGGCTATGCATCAACTTGCCTATGCTTGTCCCCTAACGTCCAATAAATACGTCTTCGGTATCTTGTAATTACCACTAACTGTGTTACTCTTATACTTATATATCCCAACATAGGGGTGTCAAAGTGGGCCGAAGCCCGCGGGTTAGCCCGCACCCGCCCCCGCCCCCGCGATGGGGCGAGTTAAGGCCGCAAGAAATTAGGCTCGCGAAAATGCGGGCCTAACGGGCATAGCCGGCGGAGGGCCAGAGCCCGCGCGTATTGCAGGCCCATATTTAAAAATAAATAAATAAATTATATATATATATATATATATATATATATATATATATATATAAAACCATATATATAATATCTTAATTCTTAGGCAATGTGTAGATCTGACTATCTAAGAGTACGCAGAAGGGGAGAAATCCAATAATTCAATAATCCTTCGCTAATTCTTAATTCAATAATTCCTAGAGTACATAGTTCTCCGGTTCTCCCGTCTCCATCCGCCTCCAACTCTATCAAACAATTACTAAAACTAAATCATCAATTCACACATATTTATGAATTACTAAATTGCCTCCAAGTCCAGCAAATATACATATTTATATGTATTATACACAGACAGGAACTATAGAGGGAAAATATGAAGCCGAGAGAGAAATAGAGTGTGCTGTTGAACCCTAGCTTTGATCACCCTTCTACAGTTCGCTCAACGCACGGTATCGATCTGGGAGATTTGGGCGATGTTTATGGAAGTTTCCGGTGCATTGAGGTGTATCATACACCGTGAGGATGCAAAATAACGACCAATAAATAGTGTCATATTTCAAGCAGTTTTAACATGTTTATATACTATTTAATGTTTTTTTTTTTTAAATTTAAGTGATGGCCCGCGAACCAGCTCGCGAGACCCGCAAGCCCGCGTGGGGCGGGCTTGAACTGTATAGTTCCAAGCTCGCGAGCTTCGCTGCCCAACCGCAAAAGCCCGTCAAGTAAAAAGCCGACGGTGGAGCGGGCCTAATGAGGCAGGTTGGCCCGTATTGACACCCCTACCCAACCAACATATGGATTGATGTATTAGTCATACAAAATACAATAACAATTATAATAATTTATTATAGGAGCGAATTAATTAAAGTCAATAATAAGTATATACAAAATACAAAATATAATAAGAAGGGTGATCTGTGATTATGTAGTATAAGTAATGTTGCACCTATAATTAATAATGTTTGAAGGAAAGAAATTAGATTAAATTAAAAATCACAAATAAGAGAGAGAGAGAGAGAGTTTTAGAGGAAAAGAAAGGGCAAAACAGCTCTCATTCTCTCTCCCTACGCTGTTGTGTGTATCTATTTCATATATACAAAAAACATATACATACACATCAACGGAAAAGAGCATTACATTTGAGAATCGATTCGATCGCAGCGTCATCACAACAAACACTGATTGATTCTTCAACAACACCAGGTGTTGGCGAGGAAGGATTTCATATTTACTGATTTTCAGGGGTAATCATAGAGAAACACGTATATACAGATATATATACATACACGATCAAGTGGTTTGTTCGATCAGGAATTGCGATTGCGACGAACCTGGGAGGGTTCAGAGCAATCCCTTCCTCGGATTTGGTGGGTTTTTTCTGAGTGAATTGGTGGTTCAGACGCGGATTCTTTCGATTTTGAGTGATATGTTGGACTTTAGGATAGGCGGTGGCAAATTAGGGTTAGGGTTTTGGGTTGCTTAGGTTAGACACAGGGTTTGTGGGTTGGGAAGTGTGCCTGAGGAGGATATGGAACCAAAATATGAGCTTGAGGAAGGCGAGGCGCGCTATCACGGGCTTGATGATGCTGATGATACAAGCATTGACCCTGATATAGCACTCTCTTACCTTGTAAGAGTCCTCTTCAACCCTTGCTCTAGTGTCTTCGTGTTAAGATTAAGAATTTGGATTGTATTAATGTGATTAATTAAACTGAATAAATGTCAATTACTGTTTTGGTGAAACAAGGGAAAAATACGGATTGAACTCCCAACTGGCAGGATTGATTGATTGATTTCACCACTTAAGTGTTTGCATGGAGAGCTTAAATTGATTGTAATTTGAAACAGAAATCAACTTTTCAAACTAACTGATCATATTAAAGCTGATGCTGGAGAGAAGGCCTATTAATTTGATTCTGATTGTATGTATTTGGCTTGTATGTGAGCTGCACATCTGGAGGATATAACCTGCTGCTAGCAGTCTGATTGACAAGGATTTGACTGTTGCAATTTGCAAATTTGTTACACTACTTTGCTTTTAACTTTTACAGCAATCATGAGCTATGTCTTGATTGCTACTCCTTATTTGCAGTCTTGGAACTGCTGGATTTGAATGTATACTGGTTTCTTATGTTTTATGACAGTTTGCTGTCTTGCTCTTGATTTTATGAACGAGAAGATTGTATAACATTTTTTTTTTTTTCATTCTTTTCCCATTATTTTATTCTAAAGGATGAGAAGGTACAAAGTGTTTTGGGCCATTTTCAGAAAGATTTTGAAGGAGGAGTTACTGCTGAAAATTTGGGTAATTGGGCCTGTAACTGAACTTGTTCGTTAACCTCTTGCCTTGGGAATCAAAATGATGTTATTGAGTCCTTTTTCTTTTTTGGCAGGAGCAAAATTTGGTGGGTATGGCTCATTTCTTCCCACCCATCAGCGTTCTCCTTCAGTATTGTCTCAGCCTAAATCTCCACCAAGATTTCATAGCCACAACATGCCAGGGTCTCCTAAGCATTTGATCACAGAGGTATACATACGGATTTTTAATTACTGTTCAGAATAGAAATGTTCAGTCACAATACTAATAAAAAAATGTTTTTATTTACTTGCAATATTCTGTTGGTTTGGTACAGAGTGCCCCTCAGAATTCTCTGGGTCTTCCCAATGCACCTTTGTCTCAGAAAAATGGAGTGGCTGTTTCTGGCAATTCACATTCATTACTTGCTTTGAGGGGTGCACCAGGGGATGGCTCAGTGAGAAAAGAGTCACGCTTGCCATCAGCCCAAGTTGCTGAAAAGTGCCTTGCAAAAGATGAACCTTACTTGAATAAGTCAGTCACTTCAACTGATCAGAGAACACTAAAAGTTCGGATCAAAGTACATCCACACAAGACAACACAGAAAAATGCTGCAATATACAGTGGTCTTGGGCTTACTTCTCCTTCATCAATGGAAAGTAGTCCTGTGGAAAGTGGTGAAATGTCACCTGATTCTCAAGAAGCTTGTGATGAATCTCCTGGCCGCATTCTTCAGGTGAGCCCACATATGTTTTACATAATTCTACTCCTGTTCTGGACAAGGTGATTATCCAATCTGGTGTTTTGCTGATTTCCTGTACCTGTATTCTTGTTTCCCCCTTTAAACAGGTGATGACATCTTTCCCAGTTGCTGGGGGTCTTCTGCTTTCACCTCTTCATGATCATTTACTCGCCTTGTCAAGAAATGGAAGTAACTTGGGATGTGGTAAGCTTGTTGCTGCTCGAAAGAATGGGCACAACAATTCATCCATTTCTACTGATGCTTCAACTTCCAGTTTGGGGAATGTCAATGAGCTGAAAGGGAAGAAAGTAAATTCTATTTCCCAGAGTGAAAACTTTGTGGAACCAAAGAATAGGGGTAAAATTGAGAATGGGCATGATATTGCCTCCTGTTTGAGGAAAAAGTTAGGAAGTGAGACCTTGGAAAACAAACAGTATCTCTCTACTGACTTGAATGCTAAAGATTTATCTGATTTAGGATGTGATACTGGTGGATCACTTAAAGGTGCTAGCTTTGCATCCAAAGCTGTTAGAGAGTCTGATGAGGCCATGTCATCAAAGAAAAGGGAGCTTACAAGTGGTAAGATGAAAGATATATCCCTGAACGGTGACTTGATTAATGATGAGTCCGTTGCATTGATTACTGGCCAAGGTGGTGGTAACTTTGATAATCGAGATTCAAAAAGCAACTCAATGGAGAAAATTGGGGAACACCAGGTAAGAGGTTTTCATAAGGATAATAAGGAACGCGGCGGGAGTAAGGAAGACAGAATTCGAATTCTTACTTCTGTTACAGCCAATTCTGATATTTCTGAGGGTAGAAAAGACTCAAAAGGGGCTGCTGAGAAGTTAAAAGAAGTAAATGTGAAGGCTACAAGTCATCAACAAGATAAATTGAAGATACTAGACACAAAGAAGAAGACATCTGAAGGGAAAAAGAAGTCAGTGGGTAGTCAACTTTCTGGAAAGTCTGCTTCTAAGCTGTCAGATAAAAGTGCTGGTTCTTCTGCTGTTATAAAGAACAAAAAGAATTCTGGGAAGGATGTACTAGAAAGGACCTCTGGTCATAAGTTAAAGGAGTCTAAGCTGGATGCACATAGAGAACTGCAAGCAAGTTCTGATAAATCAAGGCTGAAATCTGCTCATACAAAAATTGACAACCAGTTGATATCTGGGAAAATTATGAAGGAGACTTCAATGTATGGAATACCTTCCACTAGGGAACCTATACTGCATACAGAAGAGGCACCACCAGCTCCTTTTCTTATTGAGGAGGACTGGGTCCAATGTGACAAATGCCAAAAGTGGCGTCTTCTACCACAGGGTATGAAACCTGATCATTTGCCCTCAACTTGGCTATGCAGCATGCTAAACTGGCTGTAAGTTTCCTGCCTTACCCCCCTCCCCCCCTCTTTCTCTTTCTCCCGCCTCGTATGCAATGCACATCATAAATGGATTGTTGGTAAAGCTGGTGTTAATTACATATTCTTTCAATGTTTTAGGCCTGGAATGAACAGCTGTGACTTCAGTGAGGATGAAACAACTGGAGCTCTTAATGCTTTATATGTTCCTCTCCCTGAGAATCCAAATAACCTTCAAACTTATGCTGGTAAAATTGAAGGTGGAGTAAATCCAGCCAATGCTTGTGACTTGAGTGGGAATAGGAAAAATGCCAGTTACACGGCCAATCTAGGAAGGAAAAAACATAAAGTGAAGAGAAGTAAAAATGATGAATTACTTGCTGCAACAAACTTTACGAAGAGCATCCAGGGAGAAATGGTGAAAGGTAGAACTTTGGTAAATGTGAACCAGGCTCCATCGGGATCAATTTCAATGCGCAAATTCAATGACAAGGATTTTAGTGAACAGGGGGAACCTGTAGTTATTGGTATGGTATTAGTGTCATGGCTGATTTTTCATACTGTTTGCATTGGCTCATAGATTTAATGTGTCTTATGATTTCTTTGCAGGTGATGAAAAGTCTAGAAAGAAAATAAAAAGAGAGCCCAACTTATCGGACTATAAGGATGTGAAGAAGATAAAAGCTGATAGTGAGCTAGCTTCTGGTGTGGACCTTGGTATGCTGGCCTCAACTAATGGTTTGCCTACTAAGGTAGCTATGAAAGAGAAACACAAGAAAAATGGGTATTTGAAGGAAACAAAGTCTAATGTGGGGATTGGGTTACGGGTCTCTGTGAAAAAGCAGGACCACATGCATGATTCTCTGGATAATGGGTCATTAGATATAAAAGCGTGTAACGAAAGGGAACTATCTACAAAGAAAAGAAAATTTAAGGACAGTGATTATTTGGAGACATTGCAAAGTAATGTGGCTCCTCTTGGAGTTAGCAAGGTGTCCATCAAGGATGAGAGCAGTGATGGTGGATTCAAGAAACATAAGAAATCCAAGATCTCTCAGACTGAAGCAAATGAGTCCAGTACAAGTAAGAGTGAGCAAAAACCAAAGGCAAGAGCTGCAGTGACCAGAATTATCCTGCCAAGTAATAGGAATAGTCAATCTAGTAGTATTGTTAAAGATCAGCAGGTTAAGAAGTATAAAGTTAAGATGAAGCCTCAACTAACACTTGATGATATTGATTCATTGAGAAAGGACTTGGGTTGTGAAGAATTGTCAACAGCAGCCACTTCAAGCTCCTCTAAAGTTTCTGATTCCCGTAAAAGAAGAGCTAATTACCAAGTGAAAGGCTCTCCTGTGGAGTCAGTTTCCTCATCTCCAATGAGGACATACAACTTGAATAGTCTTTCACCCACTAGAAAGGGTGGTTTTGAGAAAGATGATGCTAAGTGCAGTGATTTTGGATTGGCAGGAAGCCCAAAAAAGTCTATGAATGGCAATATCAATTTATTGAGCAATGGATCTGGGCAATCAAGAAAGGGCAACAGTTCCTTTCATGCTGAGGCTTTTGATAGTTCATTGATACATCTTCGAGATAGTGATGCCAGAGACAGGTTTGATACAGATGCTAAGCTTTCTTCTGATGTTGGAAATGGCCATTTAGGTAATAGTGATGCTGTTTTGTTTGAGGAACATATGCATGCTGCAAGTTCCATTGGTAGGAAGGATAGGATGAACAAGAAACTTTTAATGTTACACCATCAGAAAACTGTGAAAAATTCTCCATTACAATCCAAGGAAAAAGATAAAGATTTTGGTGTTGGCATCCAAACAGATGGAGAGAAGGTCTCTGATCCTCCAAGTGATAATATAGGCTTGAAACCAACTAGGAGTCTAAAGGAAGATATGAAGGTTAACAATAACCATCTTGAGTCTGGTACTAAATTTGTTCGAAATAGTAAGAATCATGGCAATTTGGATACTGCAAAACCAGGTGATGGTAGAAGAGATAACCAATTAAAATGTGAAGATGATTGGTCAAATATGAAATTTGGTGCTTCATGTAACATGGATGGGAAGGCTCCCACAGAGCAAAGGTCAATTCTGGAGTTTGAAGCTGAAACTGCTATGAGGGAACAGTCAACTCAAGTGGGGTCAAAGGAGGAAAGGTCAGAAGTTGACCTGTCTCGAGGAGATAAACAAGCCACCTTTGGTGGTGCTAGCAGACCTCCATCACTCCATAAAGGAGCTTCTGTGGATGCTTCTGTTGCTGGTAATTCATCTAAAATGTCAAAAGCTCCTGGTCCTGTTTGCCAGAATGGCACCAACAACAGCACAGGCCATCCTATTCCTGATCGCAGTATGATTAAGAGCCTGGATGCTCCAAACCTTTCCAAAAGGGATTCCTCCAATCAGAATGCTTCTAATGTCTTGAGAGAAGCTGAAGAACTCAGAGATTATGCTGACCGTCTCAAGGTTCTTTAAATTGCCCCTTATAAGTCTTTTCAGCTTTTGCCTGCAGTTAGAACCTGGTTGCTGATCTAGTTGTCATTTCTACTATAGCTCGGTTTTCCTACTTCCATCATCTTTGAGAGCTTATAGAAAGATGCTCTAATTTGCATTCAAGTTTTTACTGATCAAATAATGTCTTATGCAGAGCACTGGATTTGATTTTGAATATAATGAGGCATATTTCCAAGCTGCCTTGAAGTTTCTTCACGGTGCTTCCCTCTTAGAAACCTGCAGTGGTGAAAGTGGTAAATATGGCGAGGCAAATCAGATTCAAATCTATACTAATACGGCAAAGCTTTGCGAGTAAGTGCAACTTTCATGGTCAGTAGGTAATGATCTCAGTGTACAAACATACTTTAAAGACAAATTAAGGAAGAATTCATTGCGCTCTTTTTGGGCAAACTGTAAAATTTTGTAGCTCTATGCTCAACCATTTCCTAATTTTTAACTACTTCAGAGGCTGTGATCTTTGCTGGAACTAGTTCTTGCAGAGATCTCTGTTTCAGTGGAAAAATTCTTTTAGCTGATAAGCAGCCGTAAATTAACACGAACAACTCACAGAAATATGCGCCCCTACATGGTCATACATTAGTCATTAACTCTCCTTTGCATAAATGATGCTGTCATGTAATCGTGATAAATATTTCCTAATCCCTTGATGTGCTGCTACAGAATATTGTTCTTGGAAAAATAGCTGCCTTTTCTATTTTTTGATAATGTGAAAATTATTGTCCCACCTATTAAAAAAATGCATTCCTATTTTAAACCTTCAAACAGGATGCAGCCAAGTACATACATCTAGAGTCCTGAACAAACCAAAAACTTCTACCCTTCACAAATTGTGGGGTCATGAAAGTATAAATTTAATCCTCAAAATGGATTTCTAGACATCCTAGTGATTTTTTTTTTGAAGTCGAGTAATTTCGTTTGAAAATTATGTTATGATAGTCTGATCACTGATGTGATCCTTGAATTTTTCATTTATTAGTTTAGTTTATTTTTACTTTTACTACTTGTTCTTTTGGTTTTGTAATGGACTTTAATAAATCTGCAGAACTTGTGCAAATGAATATCAGAAACGCCAAGAAATGGCCACTGCTGCTTTGGCCTATAAATGCATGGAAGTTGCATACATGAGGGTAGTATATTGCAAAAATATGAGTGCAAGTAGAGTTTGGCATGATTTGCAGGCTAGTCTGCAAATGCCCATTCCCCTGCAAGGTAATTACCATTGTCATGTGATCTTTGGACCTCATGATTTTCTTATTATTTTTTAAATCTTTTTTGCTTAGTTATCGAATTAGTAATTCAATAGCTTTATTATATTTATTTCAACACCTTTTTAAATTATAAATTATATTCTTAATTACTCCATCATTCATTAAATCCATCTGGTTGCTTCATATTGTGAGGAGGGACATTTTGATTGATCTTGCCTTTCCTCTGTTATTCATAGGTCTAGTTTTACTTCTTCGGAGAACACCTAAACAAATATTTATTTGTGGACGGGATTTTGTTTTTGGATATTTCAAGGTTTTTTTAGGGTGCTGGGGTTCCAACTGCCAACATCAGAGAGGATATCAAACACTTCAATACACAGTATTTCATAGAACCACTATATTCCTGTCTGCACTAATACTTGAGACTTGGTTATTATTTTTGTCTCGATCTAGCATTTCCTTTGAGGGAAAAGCTAGATTCCTGCTTTTCTTTTGTGACATAGTTCCTACTGTATTTTCTCATATATGGATGTGCAACTCCATCTATAGATTCATCTCTATGAAGTTTGCTGGCACTTAGTGTTTCTCCTTGGTAACACGATCCGTTTTAAAATATCATGGGTAACATACTAACATGCTGTTGTTGACTCCAATTTCGTGCTATTTGTTCAGGTGAATCTCCTTCATCTTCTGCATCTGATGTTGATAACACAAACCATCAAGCAATGATAGACAGGACTGCTTTATCTAAACCGAATGGTTCTCAACCTGGAACTCATGTTATTGCTCCTCGAAACCGTCCAAGTTTTGTTAAATTGCTCGACTTTGTAAGTTTTATCATAGTGAAACTGTACTAGTCTCCAATCATATTTCAATGCTTTGCTTTGTTGTATTGATGACACAATTTATCTAAACCTTTTAATTTCATATTCATTGAAGCTAAAATGAGTCTAAAGATGGGAATCAAGGGGAATTTCACATGTAAACTTTATATACCTGGTAATTTCTGGATGAAAGGAAGTAAAGAGTGAGTGGGTAAGGTCCGTATGGAAGGTGGGGATGGTAGCTTGCAGAAACATTTTGGCATTCACTAATTGAGTGATGGTCTTTTATGCTTGTATTAGTAAGGTTTCAATATCGGAATGTTTTGACTCATATAACCTAGCTTCTGCCAGTATGATGCTTTATTAATGTAAAATTTACAATGCAATAAGTATTTTGACTATTTTGCAGGCCAAGGATGTTAATGCTGCAATGGAGGCATCCAGAAGAGCTCAAAATGCATTTGGAGCTGCTAATATAATCTTGGAAGAGGCTCAAAATTTGGAGGCTATCTCATCTGTTAAGCAGGTGATTGACTTCAGCTTCCAGGATGTAGAAGAGCTTACACGTTTGGTACGACTTGCAATTGAGGCCATCAGCCGGCAAAGTATCGGTGGCAATAGATAAGACAACTGTGTATATAGTCTACTCCTTGGACAAGCAAGCCTTTTTATGCAGGATGGAAGCATGGACCTGCATATTGCAGTTGGTGGAGAGGCATGGAATTAAGTGCTTGTTATCTTTATGTACATGTGTACAAAGTGGGATTGGTTTCCATTTTCCTGATTCTTTTGAATATTCGGCTTTTTTTATTCCCCTATGATAAGAGCATAGTTTGCTCAACCTGAGAATTATGGGTTGGGGGGAGGGAGATGTATAATTTATGCTTGTTCAAGGACAAGATGCAGAGTTAATGTAAGATGCAATTTTGAAACTAGTTTTGTTTTTGTTAGGATTTGAGGAACATAGGATTATAGAGACCTAGAAGATTTAGCCATTTAGGTGACATGTCGAGATCATAATTTTGATGTAGTTCAAGTGATCCATTCTTGCCAAGGACTCGAATGTTTGAGGCCATATACATTCTCAAAATTTTTTAATTGATCAGAAATCCCAGTTTTGGATAAGATTTTGGTGATTTTGATTCTACAAGGTCTAAATTCTATATTGTCCGTAAGTATAGTGTACTGGAGATAATCCCCTTCATGCAACAATTTTCAGTTTGCAGATAATTTATCAAGGGATGTTGGTGTTCAGGTATGTAATCCAGTGTATATTTTAGGTTTTGCAATGAGGGATAAATATCACGTTGCACTTGAAATTCTGTATGCCTATCTTGTGTTGAAAATTTGTGCTTTTAATATACTTCTATGCAGGCTTAGTATTGTGTCTTATTTTGTTGTTCAACAAGTTTATGACTTCAAGGTGATTTTTGCTGGTAAGAAGTATCACGAGGAACAAATTGCTGCCATACTGCAAGTAATTTAGTTTGGCGTTGTGTTTATGAGGTTCTCCAAATTTGAGAATTGCACACCTTCACAGACCCATCTTGTTTTTTGGCAGGAAATAGCAAAATGACACATGAGTTTAGCAACTTGGTATTTGACCTTTTCCTAACAGGTAAAGCTTCTAACCGAATGCTATATTTGTTTGCACCAATAAATGTTTGCTAGCCTGCCTCCAAAGTGTTGACTTTCCCTTTATTATTTATTAATTTATTTACTTATTTTTTAAAAATCATTCCCACTAGATCTTTTCTCTTGTGCTGACCTTGTTAATCCAACTCAGACCTTTTAATAGTTTTAGATTATATATATGGTGGTGTATTGTTTTCGTATGTTTTAAACAATTCCACAAGGTCTCACATAGTAGTAGTATTTACATCTAAGGTATTTCATTTAGCTCATGACATCCTCTTGTGTGTTGGTAATATTGGTTTCTTGAACAGTGGCAACAACTGTAAGGTGCCTTTGTTTATTTGGTTTGCTCATTATGCTTTTTGGTTGTTTGTTATTATTATTATTATTGTTATTATTATTCTCTCAATATATACTTCAAATGTCAATGACTACTTTTTCCTGTGAAACGATGCTGCAGTTACAGGTCTACCATTGAATACTTAGTTTTAATCCAATTTTTCTTTCTTGCATAGTTGGCTTGTTTAGGTTCAAATTTGACACTATCAAAACTTACGAAATCACAACCTCCCACCTTTTGGCTGATTCCTCAGTGCGAGATCTTTGCAACACGTTCTTCCATTTTGGTATTTTAGTTGATGCACACTGCACTTTACATATAAGTTAAGTTAACATGTGAACACTTGTGTTTAATCCAATGTTTCCTTCTTGCATGGTGCTTGCTTTGTTTAGGTTCTGCATTGACTCAATGAAACCCTACAAAAACACGACCTCCCACCTTGCCTTGGCTGATAAAAACGAGGTATGCAAGTGTATTTGCCAAGAGCAAGATCTTTGGGATGCTTGCTTCCATTTTCATATTTCAGCCGATGCCAGAACTGCCCCCACTACAATATGAAGAATCCAATGAAGTGAAATTTTTGTTCAATTTCCCCATAATATTACTCCAATAATCCAATTTCTGCTGTGGAGCTTTGCTGTGTTTGGTTTAAGCATATTTTATTTTTAGGCTTTGGACTTGTGATTTTCCAGGGTAGTTTAGAATGGAAGAGCTAGCTAGGGTACATTTTAGCTGTACGTTATAATGTATGTACTTAAAAATCGTTTCATGTGGAACAGGTGACTTCAAACATGTATATTCAATTTTGCATCATTTATCTAATGGAAGTTTGTAGCCTATGGAAGGGAACATTATATTCCTGTCCTGTATGTAATCCTTTGTGCAATATTCTTATCCTATCCTATCCTATATATAATAAAGCCATATGGTCTTGTGAAAATTAAATGGTGATAATCAACATTTAATTTTCACAAGACCATAATAATATTATTATTGTGAAAATTAAATGGTGATAACCAACATTTAATTTTCACAAGACCATAATAATATTGTTAATTATAATAACAATAATAATAATAATTGCAATAATAATAATGATAATAATTTCCACTGACAGTTTCTAATATATATATATATATATATATATATATATATATATATATATATATAAATAATAAAGTTCAAATGTGGCGGGGTCTTCCCGTGCGGCGGTGCGGCGGAATTTCAGAATACACCAACAGTGTTAACAATATGTATCAACAGTGTAAGAAAAACACACCACAATGAAATGCAATAAAACATCACAAAATACACAACAGACTCAAAAAAATACACCATATAACTCACCACCCCCAATGGTGTATTTTCGAATAGTGTATAGTGTTTTTACTCACACCTAATGGTGTGTGTTTGGTGATGCGGGGCTCTGTTTACTCTGGTTTTTGTGGTGTATTTTCCTAACGTTGATGGTGCATATTTGTTGAACTATTGGTGTTGCCGCACCGCCGCACCGTAAGACATTGCTGCACCTGAACTCGCCTATATATATATATATATATATATATATATATATATATTTATTTATTTATATTTCAATTTCTACTGGCAAATGATTGTGTGAACGATGGTCCACATAATTGTATGGATCATGAATATCAAATACATTTTTAATATATTAAAAATACATTATTTTTATATTGAAAGTACCTTACATACATATATAATGTACCCTTAGTATATTTAAAATATACTTTTTATTGCAGGCAACCCCAAAGTTCATAAGTTTGAAATTAATATATGGCATAGCTAGGCGGCCTAATATTTAAGATTGTTGATGTGCATATTGAGGACTACGGAGACAAAGATGCGTTATTCGTGGATTCATCGGATACTATCCAACAACACTTTCCAACTTAATTGACGTGAAGTAGGCTTAGTAACATTAAGATTATATTCTCGAATTATTAGTTCTCATCTTTTATTGATTACACACTTAATTCGATAGTATTTGGAAGAAAAAATCAATGTTCGAACTAAAATTGTGATTTTGGTCTTTAAAGGTCAATTGTATGTTGCTACATCTAGAGTTAGAAATCTCAAAGGTCTAAAAATTTTGATCCGTGGTGACTCTAAAATTGTAATTCAATTACTATTGTAGTTTACTAAATTCTTAAAAATTTGTAATATTAAATACTATATACTAAATTTTTAATATAGTTTAAGATTTGTAGTAATCACCCACATTAAATATTATTTTAATTGTAAATATATTTATGTTCATAATTTTATCATAGGAATTCACACATAATAATTATTAAATAACAAAAATTTTATATATGAATAAACCTCATATAGGGTGTATTTTTATAACATATTTTCCGTGCATCGCACGGGACAAATACTAGTATCATTATATACTAGAAAAATTCATACACTTGAGTGTTCATCCCAAATTGTAGACTTGGAGTGTAAAATATTTGTATGCTACTCGATCTAGTATTATATTTTGGGAAATTCAAGTGTCTTGTGACATTAATGTTTTAACAATATTTTTGTATATATTTAGTAATTGTTATAAAACCACTATTTATGGACATTTATATTTGTAATGGAATGTAACAGATGTAACAGTTATATACATTTATTGTATTTATTACATTGAGTCCTTTATAATATATAAAGAGCTTGATAATGTCAGTTCATGTTTAAAGACTGAGACTTTTTGAAATAAAAAGCTTGTGAAAGCTATAACTATTATCTCGACTTGAAGATCGAGTTTTTCTTTGAAGATTTTTTTATATATACACCAGTCAGCCTACATCTAAAACTGCTTTTTCACATGTCTATATGCATATAAGTGTCATGTTTTTTTCAAACTAAAGGTTGCCTAATAATCTCTTGAAGCAGATAAGGAACCTTTTTGGACTCGAAGTCCCTTACTTCATTATCGTTGGAGCACCATTATAGAACCAAAAGTTCTATAATCGCAACATATTTGCGATGAAATTGCTAGCAAAATCTAGTGCTCCCCCCTACAAATGAAGTACTTGAATAATGATTAACATATCCTCCGGTATCTTCGAGATACAAAGACGTGACATTTATGTAAGAAACCATGATACGGTTTTAATAGGCTACTTGGGTACTAGCTGTTTTGTTTGATCCCCGCAATGCCAAGTCCAAACTGGTTATACAATGAATTTCTCTAAATGTTCAAAATGAGGACAATAACACTTGTGTTGCACAAATGTTATATGAGCTCTAGAAGAGCCATAAGATTATTGTACACTACTCTAGTGACAATCCAGAAGATTTGTCCAATCCATCCCTTCAAATTTTGAAATATATGTAGAACTTGAAGATTGTTATCTTCAGGGAGAGACGGGAAGTACATTTACTCGAATCAATCCGGAAGATTGAACGTAAAATCCTAAAGATTAAGTCATAAAAGACTAACGGTTGTGCATTATTTGCAACACATAAATGCATAAATATCATGTACTCTTTTCCTCACTAGTTTTCTCCCATTGGGTTTTCTAGTGTGGTTTTTAATGAGGCATGAGTATGATATTAATGATGTAAATGGGAAAATATTGCAAAATAAGTGCTTAAATGGACAAACCCCCGAATCCTGAAGATTATGCAGTTTGCGCCCTGAAGGCTTATGGTTGTACTCTTTTTCCCTTAACTAAGTTTTTCCCACATGGTTTTCTTAAGCTAAGGTTTTTAATGAGGCGACCAAATACAATATATGTTTTTACATATATCATGTACTCTTTTCTTCAACTAAGTTTTTCCCACGTGGTTTTCCTAGTGAAGTTTTTAATGAGGCATGAATATATATTTTATTGTACTCTTTTCTTGTCTAGGTTTTTCCCACAGGGTTTTCCTAGCAAGTTTTTAACGAGGTATGATTATGGCAAAATAATGTCCAAGGGGGAGTGTTATAAAACCACTATTTATGGACATTTATATTTGTAACGGAATGTAACAGATGTAACAGTTATATACATTTATTGTATTTATTACATTGAGTCCTTTATATTCTATACTCTTGTAACTAAAGATTGAGGCTAATGAGAATACAGCATTCATCTCACATATATCTCTACTCATTTCCTTTGCTTTTGTTCTTCACGCGTTCACCAAACTCAAGGAGGCTAAGGCCAACTAATCTGCAATACAACAGTAATGTTGTACTATAATTGTAAATTGTAAATAAAATAATGAAGGAATCTTTAATTAAGGTGTTGATTTGCATTAGCGTTGTGAGTTATACTTATTTGTTTGTTCCAAAGTGCGCTGCTATAAGATACCGGACTACTAGTGTCGATTGAGACTTTATTTAAAATGTGTGTTTTTTTAATGGAGAAATATATATATATATATATATATATATATATATATATATATATATATATATATATATAGGGATGCACTCAGGTGCGAATAACTGCCCAGGAAGGAATATGTGAACGAATCAGCGCGCGATACGTGTTCAGATCTAATAGCTTTAAAAAAACACGGTGGCATTTTCGTAATCTAATAGCTTTAAAAAACGCGGTGGTATTTTCGTAAATAATTGAACATCGAAGTGCAAGTAAAATCACTTACGTGTGCACCTACTTTCACCTAAGTGCATGTAATTTTGCCTTGTTAGCATTCACTTTCCGCAAACATTTATGCACCTGGGTGTGCTTATAACTATAGGTGCAACTATTTATAACTATAGGTGCAACTACTTTCACCTATAAGTGCATGTAATTTTGCATTGTTAACATTCATTGATCTGAGTTCAGCGTGTAGTAATACCCTTAAAAATCACCTGCAAACATTTATGCACCTAGGTACAACTACTTATAACTATGTGTGCAACTACTTAGAACTATAGGTGCACTTAGTATTTGATGCTCAGTGTAAATTTTTACTTGCACCTATAATACATTTTACATGCACTTGTAATACATTTTACTTGCACTTCGATGTTTAATTATTTACGAAAATGCCACCGTACTTTAAAAAAAAAATCAGTGTTTCTCATCCATTAGATCTGGACACGTAGACAGACAAAATCTATTCCTATTTCGCTTCTGGGCGAAGCATTCGCACCTGAGTGCGATTATATATATATATATATATATATATATAAAAGATGAATAATTAGAATAATGTGTGACAGGGAGATGATGACAAACATCACTAGAAATGGTTTACAAAATGGGAACATGAAAATGTAAGTGAGGATGGCCCCCCTTAGGCTTAGCTTCCTTCAATTCAATTCCCCTCCTAAAACCTAGCTAGCTTCTAATCTCTACTCCACTACTACTACATGATGACTACATTCTCCATCATATATATATATATATATATATATATATATATAATATCGCCGCCAATCATTTTGTTTCTTAATTGCCTGGCCTGGCCTGCATTTAAATTAAGCATGCATATAACCAATTTCCTGCTTAGCGTGCTGCTTTTTCAATTAGCGCAGCGTGGTTTGCTTAATGTCAGGGACGGAGCCAGAAATTCGGTTGAGGGGGGGCGAAACAGTATAGACATATTCAGAAATTTTTTTCAAAAAAGGCGAAACATTAAAACAAAAGAGATAATTTAAAAATAAATAAATAAACTACCTAAGAAATATAATTGTAAATATTGTTGGATATGGACGAAAAATAAAACACATCGAAACTTTATAAAAATATTCATAACAAAATATTAAACATAATTAATAAAATAATTTGAATAGAAAACACATTATAAATTACACATCTTATTATAGTGTGTGTGTGTGTAATATTAAAAAAGCTATTAAAAAAGGATTGTAAAACTATGCTAATGCTAAAATTAGAACCCTTAACCTTATTATTACCAAAGATGTGCTCTACCACCTACTCTAACTCATTTCTTGTTAACATTTTATAATTTTTTTTATACTAATACTAAAACATATATTATATATACATATATACATACAAATACTATATATGGGGTGGGGTGAGGGGGGCAGCCGCCCCCCGCCCCCCTCTCCCTCCGTCCCTGCTTAATGCCACTAGTATTATATATATTGTGTTTCACTTTCCACTTTACTCATTCAAACCAATTATATACTTAGCAGCACATATGCATGCTTTGTATATTAATTATATTACCCTAATTCTAGTGTCTGAATTATAGGTGTCGTACATGTATTTTCTTCTTGAAATTATATTCTTTAACGTTCAAAATATGATAGATAATGCTTAATGATGTGATCAAAATGTTATAGCTATTTGATCCATCGTATTAAAATAATCATTTTTGATTGAGTTTCTATAAGCTATCTAACATACTATTGACTATACACCGTACTCGTTGAATTTGAAAAAAAAAAAAAAAGAATTATTTTTGTCTGACCCTTTCGCTAATAGTGTGATATTTTTGTAGTTTATGTGGGTGGTTATATTTCTCTTGCATTAAAAAAAAGGTAAAATTGACTATATTATTATTACTACTATAGCATTCAAAAGAAGCCATCCATCACAGGCCCCCCCACTATATATACATTTGAAGCTGCGGCAAACTCAACTCTTCCGATCCCCCCGTCCACCTCCATTATATATCCATCCCACTGCACCCTCCCTATAAATATTAGAGATTTTAGCTATACCAAATTAAGATTTCCTCAACCTTCACTTAGCTTATTGTGTCCTCAAAAAACACACACACACACACATATATATAATGGCTCCTGTTGCAAGTGATGTTGCTGTTAAGGTTGGGCACATCGATGACGTCCAAGAACTGAGAAAGACTAAGCCATCTTCTATTCCTGAAAGATTTGTGAGAGACATGACAGAAAGAGCTTCTTCTGTCACTCCCTCCTCCTCTTCATATTACCTCAACATTCCCGTAATTGATTTGCAAAACCTCTTCAAGGGAAACAACAACAATAATTCTCCCCACTTTCTTGCTCAGCTATCCAACCTCTCTGTTGCCTGTCAACAATGGGGCTTCTTTCAAGTACCAACTACTTACTTTTTCATCTCATCACTTAATTAATTATTATTTTTTATAAAAATATATATATATATATATATATATATATATATATATATATATATATATGGCAGGTAATAAATCATGGGATTGAGTTTGGGTTGCTTGAGAGGATGGAGAAGTTGGCCATGGAGTTCTTCATGTTACCTTTGGAGGAGAAGAAGAAATACCCAATGGCTCCTGGAAGTGTGCAGGGATATGGGCAAGCTTTTGTGTTCTCAGAACACCAAAAGCTGGACTGGTGTAACATGTTTGCTCTTGGAATTCAACCTCATTTCATCAGGAACCCTAAACTATGGCCAACAAAACCACCTCATTTCAGGTTTTCTATATATATCTTGCTTCACATGCATTATATTTCTTGGCGGGTATATATGGCTAAGTAATTTAATTTGATTTGTTGTATTAATTGGTGGGCATGCAGTGAAACTTTGGAGGCATATTCAAGAGAAATAAGGAAATTGTGCGAGAAGTTGTTGAAGTACATAGGCAAGAGTCTGGGATTGAGTGAGGATGTTTTTGAGAAAATGTTTGGAGTGAGTGTCCAAGCTGTGAGGATGAACTATTATCCACCATGCCCTAGACCAGACTTGGTTTTAGGACTCAGCCCCCACTCTGATGGCAGTGCCCTTACAGTGTTGCAACAGGGAATGTGCACCACACTTGGCCTTCAAATACTCAAAGATAACACATGGATCCCTGTCCACCCTATCCCAAATGCCCTAGTCATTAATATTGGTGACACTATGGAGGTACCCCTCATGCACCCTGCAAAAAAACTTTTTTTTTTTTTTTAAATTTTAAAAACGTGGTATCGTGACCTGTTCTGTTTTGATATGATATCAATTGTCAATTAAAAGCTATATATAGCTGGTAGCGAATACGTCTTATATATACTTGTGAAGCAGTCAATGTCACGTTTCAAAGGTAAAACACTTACAACGGGCTAATTAATAGAACATATATGCATGTGTTATATATACTTGTAGGTCCTAACAAATGGAAGATACAAGAGTGTGGAGCATAGGGCAGTGACACACAAAGAAAAGGACAGGCTTTCCATTGTCACATTTTATGCCCCAAGCTATGAGATAGAGTTAGGGCCAATGGAGGAATTGGTGAATGAAGACAACCCTATCAAGTACAGAAGATACAATCATGGAGACTACAGCAAACACTATGTAACCAACAAGCTTCAAGGCAAGAAAACCCTCGAATTTGCCAAGATCAATTATTAACTAATATAATCACTCCAACAATATAATCATTATATTATATTGTTTTCTTAGCTTACTTATTTCATGGAGGATATATGGACTCTTCATTCCAATAAGAATATATACAATGCCAGGCCAGACCGCGTTATTTTACTCGATCTCAATCTACTTGGAATTTAATTTGTAAAACTTAAATTATATTGCAAGTAGCTACAACAGTATGTAGTAGCAGTAGGAATGCAATTTGGGTGTGATATATAGCTATCCTAGCTAGATTTAGTGGTGAAAGAACTCTACTTTTGTATGATTAATCTATGAATATATATATAATCAATAATGGAATCCTGTGGAGTGTTTTGTGCATGCAGATCAGACATGTTTTTGTGTACTGTGAGTGGTTTAATTTGTTCAACAAAAACTACACTTTTTACTGTTAGTTAATCCTAGCTTCTTAGCTAGGTTGATTATTGCATTGTAAATTAAGAAGAAATGACAAAAATCCAAAATGGGATGGAGACAAGAGAGAGAGAGCTTTTTTTCCTCCCCATGCCCTTCATACAAATTAAAATAGAAAAGTTGAAAAGACATTTTGTTTTCTAAGAAAAACTTTAATTATTATTATTATTATTATTGAACATTCTACGGTGTCATAATCTCAACTAAGAGAATATTTTATTTTGTAATTATTGACTATGTTTCTATAGTGATATAACACTATGATGTCTCATTTTATCATTAATGTATTGAGTCTTGATTTAATATAATAAGCATTCTTTTATTTAAAAAAAATGATGTCGTAAGATATCATAATGCATGCCATGTTTCAAATATACATATATTTTTTAAAATACAATCTCAACTGAACATAATATTTTACAAAGAAAAACAAAATATGGAGCTATGTTATGTTATTTTACCATCTCAAGTTCCCAACTAAACAAATTAAACAGTAAAAGTTAACACAAAGAAGGCCAAACAAGGCTACAATCTTACCTAAATATAAAAAATCTTGGGAAAATGGCACTTTTTCCCCCTAAGTTATATATTTATAACACTTTTCCCCCTTAATTATTTATGTAAACACATTAGCCCCCTCAATTATTTTAAAAGTGGTGGTTTTTCCCCTAATATATTAAATTGACATTTCTACCCTTAAAGTAAACATTTTATTTATTTTACTTCTCCAACAAATTATTCTTCCAAAAGGCTGAACCCCAACCCTAAGGGCCCCCCACACCCCGGCCCGACAGAGCATTTGGGAGGATGTAAATCATGGTGACTCAACTGAACATGAACCACAGAGGCTAGACCGGTGCTCAGCTCACTGCGCACAAGGAGCCCCCTCACTTTGAGAGGTTGCTCCCGCACTGCTGTTGGTGAGACTCGATCCCTGGTCATTCTTTCAAATTATTGCGTATATGTAGCGATTACCACGGTTCGGTTCGAACTGAACCAGACACTATAACAATCGAATTAAAAGTTTTCGGTTATGATTCAGATCTAGAACCCAATATTTGGATTTCAATTTATTAAATTTAAGAATAAAAAAAAAAACTTGATCATGACCCGTGAACCGGCGGTTCCGGATCCGGTTCACGATTTTGAACCGTCTTTATTTTAAAATTTTATTCTTTTATTTTAAAATAGTCTAAATTCAACAATAAATATATTTTATTTTTTCTGTTTGGAACATGAACCGACCATTCCGGTTCGCGATTTTAATAAACTCTAAATGTCGCATTTTGATTATAAATTATAATTGGAATATTTTGGTTTGGTTGCTATAGTATCTGTTTGGTTTAAACCAAATTATAGTAATAATTTGTTGGAGAAGAAAAATAAATGAAATATTTATTTTAAATATTTATTTTAAGGGTAAATATGTCCATTTAACATTTCAGGGGGGAAAAAGAGCCACTTAAACAATTCAGGAGAAAAAAGTGCTATAAGTATATAACTCAGGGGGAAAAAGTGCCATTCTCCCAAAAATCTTTTTGAGAAATCACAATAAGGTGTATCACTATATATAGAAACTCAGCTTCAATTAATTAATGTTAGAGTGGTACTACTGTAAATTATATTATAGATCATAATCCACATCATATATACTATTGTGAGATGAAGTATTGATAAATGTTCATTTTTAATATAATATATCTAATATTCATGTTCAATGTATTGAATGTTCATGATTTTTAATTAGTATATATATATCTAAAAATGAACATTCAGTACTTCAAAAAATAAATTTTTAGTAAATTAGAAATGAATTTTCAGTATATTAAAAATTCAAAATTGATTGCAGTGAGTGTCAATGTGCAAGTATAAGATCTTTCACTCTGAAAGACCTCCGGAATTAAGTAACTTGATCTTCTTCACTGAAGGGGATCAATATGCTCTGATTGTGATCTTTGAATAAATTTCAAAGCTTTTCAGGATATCTTCTTAAGCTTTAAACCTTTTCAAGATATCTTCATATAAGAAATGAGAAGTCCTAATAAGATAGGAAGAGTTTTGATAGGTTTAAACATTTTTGATATTATCTAATGATGAGTATTCAACATGCATGTACGAAGCTAACACATAATTATGTGATTATGTCTAGATTCTTGCTTTCAAGATAGATTCAAAAATATTCATCATATATATCAATTTTGATATGTTAAATTTTCAGTGTCTACAATATGTCAATGGTCTCACCATACAATGTAAACCATGACCCACGGTATAATGATGGGTGATGATACATTTCCCTTCTGATGATTTCATTTCCTAATATTCATCGCCTCTTTATACAAATTGTTTTATTTGTATTTGATTAATAAGTAGATTTTTTAAAAACATGTGATATATAAAGAGTTAAATTGTCGATCACATTAGGAGGTGAAGATTAGAAGGTGAAATAAGGAGGAAGAAAATAACAAATAAAAATTGTTTTGATTTTTTTTTTTTTCTAAATCAATTAACTTCACAGAGTATAATCACCATCTTTTACTTTTTGGGTGTTGTCGATCGAGGGAAACCCGCAAGGCGAGCGCATCCACTACCTAAGAATGTACACAAGGTAAATCCCTTCTTTTGATCCTAGTTGATAAAAGACCACAAGAAAATAAATCAGTTTATATTACCTACAGTTGACTGGCTAAAATAAAAAAGACATATAGATTAGTGGTCCTACTAAAGTCGAAGTTATAATTAGTGTGGTTACCAAATTAACAATATGAACATTGACTAACTTGGCTTAACCAGTATCTTTTTATTTTGAGTGGAGGGAGATTAAAATGAAATGCGTGTATGAATTATTGGAGGCACTAAGCAAGTTGCATAAAAGTTAATGATCATATGTTGGAAAATGTAGACATTAATATATAAAAGTTAATGAGCATATGAGGTAATCATCAGACTTTATGATTTATTACGTAATTCATGTCCGCATGTAGTTCAATTCTCTCCCGTCCAAATTCAAATATAAAATAAAATGAAAAAACAGGCCTTAATTAAACCAAATATATTACTCCGTAGGTTACAAGCTAAGAGATATTAACAGTATTAATTATGATTTATTATATATAGTCAAACATGCAATTAGCAGTGGAAGAGCGTTCTTAATTCCACTTTCCAGAAAGATGACACAATGTTGTTCTTCTTTCTCCTTTTTTTTTTTTTTTTCATAATTTTTAATCATTAGAGTCTTTTAATTATTGTATTAATCAAGTACGATATTGAATTTAGTTAGCATGCAGTGGGAGTCTTTTCATTTAGTTGTATTCTTCCTCCTTTTTTTGATTTTTTGTTTTTTAAATAATTTTTTAGTGACGGGAAACCACACTCTAGACGTACGACAAGAGTTATCAATGTGTGTTGAGCCTCTGAGACTTGCTACTTAGCAGGCCTAGAGTTGGCTAGACCAACTGGCAAACGACAAATTATACCATCGATCAGGGTCTATCTTGTATTACATACATTGTGAACCTTAGTTCAAAAATAACCTTCAATTCTGCACCTACATGCAGTTAATTGTTTTTATACCTTAAAAATCTAGAAAATTTACACCCTTAATTATTGATGAAGATATTTTTCAATAGCTTACAAGAGAGGACTGCTTTAAACAATATTATATTATATTATTGTAAGTTTGAACTCCATCATCACCGTTCCGGCGGCTATAAACACCGGAGGATGGAGCCGACGAAACACATTATCACATGTAAAAAGTCATGAATTCAAACTTCTCTATTACTTGATAAAAATCAATTCAATTGTTATACCATTTATTAGATCAAAGTTCACCTTACATTGTGGATCCAATCCTAGTTCAAAAATTATGTTTGTATCTGCAGTTAATGTACCCTATAAATAAATTGAAAGCATAGAATATGTTAATATATTATATACATAAAGTTATTATGTGTCTTCAATTTATTTATGGGCACATAATTTATTAACTGAAGACACATAATATGTTTAAAACAAACACATCGTTTAAATGTTATTTTAGACTAAAGTTCACAATATAATGCAAGGTATGTAGAACCTAGTCCAGAGTATAACTATATTAGCAGATAAAAATAGATTACGATCCACGTGTTATTTGAAATCCGTAACAAAACAATTAACATGCACCCTGCATTCTATGATTATTAGCAAAGTAACTGTGACTTGTACATCGTGAGATATACCTACATTAACTACTAACAAATTAAACACCAAAGTTTATAAATTTATTTTGAGTTAATTGAGCAATTGTACCTACTCTGTATTATATACATTGCATGTCATCTTTGAGAGTTTTGGTATTTCATCTTAATCATCTAAAGAGGCGTGCTAACTGCTAAGCATTAAAAGCTCATAAAGCTTAATTTATAGGTTCGATGTTGCTTGTAAGTCATATCTCTACTGAAAAGAGACGATTTTGGCTTCCAACAAGCTAAAGAGATTACTGTTTAGTTATAATAATTTCGTGTGTGTGTGTTTTAAATCTCATAGAAAAGAAATTACTTGCAAAATTAATCACATTATTATTTGGTTGATATGATGGAAAATAAACTGTTCGGAATATAGTTAGTATAAAAATTCAAATACCCTTACATAGTAATAAAGATGGGATAATATAAGAATTTGTGTCGTAACTTTTCTCCCAAACCAAAATGTGTGAAAAATAAAGTATCAAAAAGAATAAGGAATATTTTCCTCAAATTTGAAGAATTCAATTTTCGTTGGAATAAATTCTCCACCAACCATAGGGTGACTTATATATTTATGTAGCTGAAAAATTAAAGGTGAAAATGCGGGCATGTGATTGAATATAATATTATTCCAACTCTGATCCAAGAGGGTGGTAGGGGCCTCTCTGTGAAGTTGCAATTTGCAAAGGTATCCATTTTGAGGCGAGAGGGAAAGAAAAAACAAAGAGAAATGCAATGGGGGAACCTTAGATGACATATAAAAGCTGGAAAATGGAGCCCACCAGCAGTTGTTGGAATGGAAAGAAGCAATCTTAGCTTTAATTTGGTGAAGAATACAAAAAAATAAAAATAAAAAACTTGACCTTAGCTTGAATGTTGAGTAGACAAGTGAGCCAATAGTAGTGTAACTAAATGGCATTAGCTTGCACAACTTTTAGCTTGGAGTACCTCATCAAGTACCAACCCACTATATATATGTCTTGTACGTGTAAAGTGGGTTCTTCACCAAAACACTAGCATGCTGCCTTGCCTGCCTCGTCTAATCTCACCATTTGCTATGTTACATCATCCTACATACCCTCATTTTCTTTAATCATACTCTAATAAAGGTATTTATATCTTGCAGGATGAAACTAATCGAGACAAATCTCAATCAAAGTTGATTTCAAAAAAAAAAAAGAAATTATATCTAGACGTACGTAACTCTAGTTTGGTTCCAGTGGTTTATGGTACAAGGAATTGGAACTGAACCTTATATGAAATCCTTATAATTTGTAAATTTGAAATGTGATTTTTTGTATTTGTTATATTCAATATTCTTGGTTATCTTTTAGACTTAACTGTTTGGGATCTTGTCTTGTCGTTAACCCTAATCGCGTTTGATTGACCCGTTAGTGCAACATTGATACGACAACGTGAGGAAAAATAAATCAAATAGAAAGTAAAGAACACAAAGTATTGTTTACCTAGTTCAATGCACTTGTATCTACGTCTAGGGCACCACCATCAGTGACTCCAATCCACTATCTCAACAGCAAATCAAACAGGTAGATGGTAAGATAACACATTCTAATGAAGCTATAGAGAATTGTCGAGGCCGGAGATCCGAGTTGTCGCTGCCCGTCTCGCTAACTCACCCACCACTGCACCATAGTTGTATGGAGTACGGTCCAATGAATCTTTTGTAAGGTGTATCTCATCAATTCTTCAACTATGTTGGAGTCCCTCTCTAAACAATATATATAATACTCTGGTTCTTTTGAAAGACAAGTAATTCTTAAGACGATATTCCATGTAACTTGAATTACTGTCTTACCCTTGAGGTCTTTCAATCAGATAAGGATATTCTTATAAAATAACCTCAAACCGCATAACTACTCTGTCAACTGTACTTGATAAGTCGGTGTAGTTCAAACGGCTAGTGTCCAAAGGCTCTAGTGTAGTGTCTATTCTACCATATCTTTAATCAGTACTTTAACTAACACTAAATATAACATATCTAGTTTCACATAATAATCTTATCAATTACAAGTTGGGGTTTACAAGACTAAACACTAACAAGAAAGACTTTGGTTCAATTCGAACTGCAATCGGAATCGCTTATACAATTCTAGTTCCTATTCAGTTTGTAATTACATAGTTTGGTTCGAACTGTTAGTTGAAACCAACCCGTGATCATTTCTAATCCTACCCTCATCACTTTATTGTTATTAACATTACAACAATATAATCTAACTCAATATTTGTGATGAACATTATAGCAATACAACTTAAGTAAATATTAAATGAAATGAATACAGTCTTTTGTTGCGTGTCTTAACAAAATTGTAGCATTGAAAGTTTATTGTGTTTCATATGACATAAGAAACAAGGTTTGAGTGCCAAACATTTTGTGAATAAAGAATGGAAAAAGGTTTGGGAGGGGAGTTTCCTTTAGGAGTGGGTATGTGAAGAGGGCCGTTGTTAATGCTTCATTCACTAATTAATCACTATTTGATCAAATTGTGGTTTTTGTGTGTAGATTCAATGGCTGCTCTACGCTTCTCTCTCTTTAATTTTTATTTTAATATCCACTTGTGACTTCCCACCATTTACATAATGACTTCAATTATTGGTAATGTGCCATCTTCAACGTCAACAACATTGCGATCACATTTGACAACTCCATTTTCCAACCACACCCATAGATAGGGGTGAATAATTAGTTTAACTGACTGAACCGAAAGAATTTCATTCGATTAATTATTTTTTAATCAAAAAATTTCGTTTCAGTTAATAGTTAAAGAAGTTACAAAATTTCAGTTAACGGTTAATTCGATTTGAAACTATTTATAATTTGTGATTTTATGTTTGTAATGTTGTTATAGTATTGTGTTTTTATATTTTCTTATGGATTTATTATTATAGGTATTATTTGTTATGCTATTGTGTTTTTATATTTTCTTACAAATTAATTATTATAGATATTATTTTAATTTAATTTATTATATAGATATTATTTTAAAGATTTAAAACTTTATCTTAAAAACTTTGGTTAACCGAAAAAAAAAAAAAAAAAATTGGTTCAATTAATTCGGTAATACAAAGTTCGATTCAATTAACGATTAAAGCTATAAAAACTTCGGTTAAAACAATTTGGTTAATTAAACGATTAACTAATTACACACCCCTACCAAAAAAACGCACCCGCAACACAAAACCAAAAATAGGTAAAATAGGATAGTAGAATTACTGCGAATGGCTAATGTACAAAGAAGATAAAAACCATACAATATCCATATTCATAAAGTTACAAAATACAGAGAAATTAAAACTTGTTCATTGTTAACAAATTATCTATACAAACGACAGTTGGATAATGATCACTCCACAGCTGAAAAGTTACACTGCATTTTGTTTGAAAAAGCGGCAGAGTGGATAACTCAGCTCAATGAAAGCCAAACCATTACAGCAATCAAGAAAGTGAAGCTGGAAACCAATCAGGAAACAGAGATAGGTAGTTCGGTTGCTGAATATCATTATATCGAATGCTAGTTAGTTGAGTTGCAAACGTGGAATGAAATGTGTACGAGGGAGGTGGCCATATAGGGAGAAGTCGAAGAGTGGAAACAATCACAACCTCTTCAGGATGCATATAAGTTACCCAACTTTTTGGTGCTCAAATGTACAGGTAATTTTGAAATCAATGGGTTACCAAAATCACGAGAGTTCCTTCACAGGAGCTGTGCTTGTTTGCAAACTTTAATGGACGGTTTTATCCTCTCCTGTGCTGATATAGCAGCAGACAAAATCATCAACTTTCTCGACCAAGTATCTGGACCCAATTATGCCAAGTATTTAAACATGTTGGGATTATCCTTGTCCCTCTCAAGGTAGTCCCTAGTAATTAAATCTTCAATCCTCTTCTTGATCGCTTTGACATCAGGCTGAGAAGAAGCAAAATTTGCAGGTTCACAACACAGATAACAGATTATTATGGAAAGAAACAATATGAAGCAAGAGAAACCTCGAGGTTACCTTGAACATGCGTCCCAACTGCTCAACACATTCCATGACTAACTGCTGATAGCCCAAGACTTTCCTACTCTTCATAATACGCACTATTGAAGCATCAATAGCATATCTTCTATCTTTGTCAACATCTTCAATAACTTTTTTCTTCTCATCCACGGGAGGGAGAGGGATCTACATTTCCACGGAAATATTTCATTGTTAACAAATAGAATACAAGAAACACAACTGGACATTACGAAAGGTTAACTGATATGGAATTACCTTTATCCTCCTCATTTTGTCTGTAAACTTTGAATTGAATTCGAAGACATCAGATGAGGAAATTGTCTTGGTGCTCGGCTCCTTGTTGAGGATCTTATACTTTGCACATGAAAGGGAATGAAGAAGTCTAACAACATCATCATCTGACAGGTTTAACTGTGCCATGATTTCTTGATAACTTAACCGGTCTGATGCATTAAATAGAAGCAATACAGAAGCCTATTGACAGTAAAAACAAGAGCTGATTATCCACAAACTCCTCGTAAAAATCTGAAAATGGATTAAACAACAGGTTGTCTGTTTTAGAACCTGGTAAGTAGTCACAATCATCTCTATGGTTTTCTGCTCAAAGTTTCCACTGATATTACAAGTACCCAGTGAGTATATCCATGTAAGCTTCCGATGCTTTGTTTTTGTTTGGTAGAACTCTCTAAACACTTCAACACATTTAACCTAATATAGAAATTCAAACCAGTAAAAGAAATGACGTCAGAGATATAGAAAATGGCCAAATAGTAGCCCAGTCGGCCCAGATACGTCACAAAATAAAAGATAGTGGAGGAATGGAAATCATCATCCAACCCAAACTTGGATTATACACTTTACAATCTAATGTTTGGCCCCTAGTCATCCATAATTTCATATTTAGCACTCCAACACCTACACTCTACTCCCATTCTCACTTTTCCATTTGACCAAGCCATGTCAATGTACACACTATCATATTCCTTCTTCTTTTTTCTTTATAATGTAATACCATCCGTAATCTTCTGGAAGCTTAATCTCTTACACTCAAGAAACTACCATTGTGGCTACCATAAGTGATAGAAACAATCACCATTATTTAACTCATTCTCTGTAACCTCCACTCCATTCTTCTCCTCGTCAGAGCCACAAAGGTACCAAAACCTTATCACATACATCTTGTTTTGTTTCTTCTTGTTCCTCATAAATAGGGCTTCTTTATGAACCTAATTGGTAGGAAATGCCAAAACTTATACGGAGTAATATGGAAGAGGCCCACTAAACTTATATTCCGGTAATTTGGTGAGCCTTCTTTTGGCAAGATATCGATTCAGTGAGGTCTACATACCATTGGAAGAAACTAGAAAAGAAAACAGATGAAATAACTACATCAAATGATTGGTGGTGGTGGTGGGTAATGGTAGTTTCTTAACATAAATACTGATAGAAGCTTCAAGAATTTACTAGGCCAAATTATGATAAATGAAACTCAAGAGTATAGCTTGACATGACATGACCAGAAATCTGACACAAGACAAGCTTAGATAGAAAATACATATTACAGTAACTTGTAGATAGCAAAATGCTAAAATGAACCTATAGACGGCAGAGTGCAAAAAAATCATCAAACTCAATATCAAGTTATCAACTACCTTATTCAATGGGTACTAAAGGGTTTAAATAGAGCATACCATCTCGGCTGGAAGGTTAAGATCGAAGGACTTGTAGCTTGGCCAAAAGCCCGTAGTCAGAACTGTAACAGTCAGGTCAATACCAGGACTTGCAAGAGGATTATTACTGAGATATTCCTCAAAACTAGTTTGGTTTTCCCTTGCCAAAGTCAAATCAGTGACCTGGAAAGTAAAGAAAAGAAATGGGAAGGGGTGGGTCAATGATAAAAAATGGCATGGCATACTAGTATGAATAATAATCTCTTACCATCCCTTCCATCTTTGATGTGAACTGACCACCACACTGTTGCTTCAACTTTGTTAGGATACTTCTCTCATGCTCGTCATTGGCACTCTTATCAAATAACAACCTCCGAGCTAACTTCTTCCTATTGACAACAAAATGATATCTCAGAACAAAAATAGCTACAGTAGTTTGACTAATAAAACAAGCTAAACGAAGAAGTTTTTGTCCTTTTGTCTACTAATGTTATACTTTTCTTTCTTGATAGCCAAATAGATGTAAAGGAATTGCATGATTTAGCAGAAAGATAGAGAAGGGCAGAAGGCATAAAGCATATCTCATAGTCATAGAAGTCCGAAAGAGTAGAAGAGAGAGAGAACTTACCTATAGAATTCTGCAAATAAGTCCTTATCACCTATGTATGCAAGCAGCTTTACAACCTGCAAATATGGATTTGTTAGCTATAGCTTTATGATAAAAAGTTAGGAAGACAGACAGAATAAGAAATATACCTTCTCCAGTGTCTCTTCAATGGCTTCATCACTCAATTTCTCACATCCACCCTTCTTTAGAATGTTGTCGCAAAAGGTGGCAAGAAGCTCAGCATTTGTGCTCCCAGCAACACCCTTGTTGCAAAAAACTTCAAAGGCTTCCTTGAGTGCCTGCAGAGAGGGATGAAAGAATATAATAAGTAATAATACACTAAAACAGGGGACTAGAATATGATGACAATGACAGTGATACTAGTTCACTAACCTTGTGGAACAGTGAGTGGTTTTGAAAACAATCATTAACATATGCCAAGTATTTATCATGAAGCTCAATTACTTTCCGAACAAAAACCTGAAACATTGTTCAGTTAGTGCAAAATCAGAAAATATGGTCAGGAATCTTTAGAATTAAAGATCATTAAGACTTCAAGACTTCAAGATTACCTGTTCCTGCATTCCTACAACATCTTTCTTGTCTGCCTATAAAAGAAAAGTCACTACTTAGAAGAATAGAAGTTTTTATTGCTCATTCAATCTTATTATAAAAATTTAAACAAATAAATATATAAAAACATGGGGACAAAATGAAAGCACACAATTACTTTCAAATATATTCAAAAAAACCCAATAACATAAGATTGCCAATGTATATATGAAGAGAGAAAAGTCGCCGTGCTGGAAGCCATGTATACCCACTTTAAGAAAAGATAAAAGGTACAAAAAAAATAGATAAATGACAAATTGAGGTTAAAGACGCAGCCAAAAATCATTATTTCACTTCCTAAAGCTGCTTTTCCTCAAATTACAAAGGAAAGAATCTATGAAAACAACATAAACTTCAATTCTCAAGCCTCATAGAATTTTCTAACACCACAAAAGAAATTGGGTAAAACATTCCATTTGAAAAGAAGAAATGATTTAAAAAAAAAAAAAAAAAATCAATATTTACAAGTTAGAACATAGGCAGGTAGTAAAATGTCAAACCATTTTTATTTATCCAAAGTAACCATGAGAGAATTGTAAAAGATATTTTATATCAGGAAAAGGAATTAGAGAGAAAATTGATTAAGAAGTTGAATATATGTTTCATTTGAGAAAAAAAGAAATATCTAAAAGAGATGCAAATGTTGCAATTATTCTCCTCAGCCATTTAATAGACAATTATGCACAACATTCCAATACAGCAGATAATTTAATTTGACAATTCCAAACTTCAAAAACAGTACATTCTCTGCAGAGTTCACAGAAAATGTTATAAAGAGGAATTACAAATGCAAACCTTTTTATGGCTTGCAGCATCTTCTGCATGTTTAACCAGAGTCATTCCTTCAGCAGTTACATGCTACAGAAAAGCACACAAACTAAGAAGTTTCACAAAAACACTAGGGTAACCAGAAAAATAAATATGATTGATGATTCATAGTGTCACTTTCAGACAGATGTGTAAGTAATGTGAGATGTTAAACCTGCTTAAAAGTATTAGCTACAGGCTCCAAGCCTCGAGGTATTTTAGAGAAGAGCCTATACATTCTTGACAAGTCCAACACCTAAAACAATTAAAGAAAAATTAATTAAGGCATCAATTGACTGCAACACTTTGTAAACAATTAAGATGCAAAGACTTCCAATAGCATATTAACTTATTGAATGAGTACCTTGTCATCTCTAAGTAATGCATGACATCCAGAGTGCTCCTTCTCAAGTAATTGGGTTGCATACACAGACAACAACTCATGTTGTACTTTCTAACAGAATAAATAAGTAAAAGAAATCAATTAAAAAAAAAAAAAAAAAAAAAAAAACTAGCATCATCAATTTGATCATGTATATTCATAGAAAGGGAAACTGGCAAGAATATCAACTAGAAGCAAAATATGCAACAGTGAAGGAATGAACCTCAAGCAACTTTGTCTCACTACTTGAATGTAGGTAATGAGAGACCCTATCCTTCTCACGTTTCAAGCATTCCTCAGCCTGGAGACCCACAAATAGATAATTAGAAAATACTGTAGTTGGAAAATGTAGGAGGGAGGCAAGATTCAAAAAGGAGAATCAAGGGAAAAGGAAAAAAGGTTGTAGATATTAACTTTCAACATATAATCTGGACATGAATCCTCTAAAATCCAGCTAGAAGCCTTCCGAGAATAATAAGCTGCAGAATCCTTGAGCATAGTTGCTTCAAAGTCATTCTCATAATAATCCATTTGCCCCATTCCAATTTCAACAAATATGTCTAGCACATTCTTCAATAATGCTCTATCAATCTGCTCACCCTCACGCTCTTGATCAATCTGGTTAGAAATATCATCAGTTACCACTTAATCTGACACCTGAGCAGGAAGAGAGCTCGAGAAAGAGTTCACTAGCAGAAAACATACCAGAGATATAACAGCATCCCTTATTTTGCTATTCAACTCTAGGTACACCTGAAACAAGGACAGTTCCAAGATTAAAATATAATCTGAAAGAAAATTTTATTAAAAAAAAAAAAGTAGTGCAAGAACATAATGACCCATGGTATGTATCAGAGATGAATTTAATAAGCAATTGTATAACTAGAGCAGAAGAAAACAAGATTTCCATTTTGAAAGAAGTATTATGGTTGATAGCCATAAGTTACCAGATCACGGAAGCATGTTAACCCAACTTCATTGAGAGCTGGTAGGGATCTCCGAGCAATGAAATAGCGATCTAGATAATGGAAGAATCTCGACAACCATCTCACCATGATTTTATGGTTTAACCACCTTTTCACCAACTCTCTTAGCATAAATTCATCATGCTTCTCTCTCAAAGAAGGCAACACCTGAATTTGGTAACAGTTATGTAAAAAATTTCACCAACATGAAAACAGTCCAAAAAAAATTAAATGCTACCATTGCTCTCCCAGACTCCCATGCTCAACTTCACAAAAGATATGAAATGCGGCTAAAGTAAGTTTGTAATTGCCTCACAAAGTAACCACTTCATAAATGATTGACTTAAACAGCAAAATCATTTCCTAGTTCTATTTTCTTCCACCTTGTCTTTTCTCTTCAACTACAACAATGTTAACATCAAGTCAACTATATGTATAATCATGTGAGTTTTTCTCCAACTCTATCTCCATATGCTCTTTCGTTGGTTCATATACATATGAACATATACACTAATACACATATGCATATACTAGTTAAGAATATAACATTTGCAGTTCTGCAGTATATGCACTGTAAGCATGTAAAACTACTAACCGTTAATGTGATGTATTCCTCAAAGGACTCCCGGTATTTGTCATATAACTGCTGAGAATAATCATGGGGCGGTTTTTGTGTGCACATATTGTAAATTGTACTAATGATAAGATTTAAGGAAGCAAAATACAAGAGAGCTACAATTCACTAAAGCATCAACCAAAAAGTCCATAACGCAGTTTCTAAAAGGATACGTGTACAACATCATATAATCCTCAGAGCTGAACTGTGGCTCTGGCAACCCTTCCAGAATGTTCTTCAGCTTTGTTATCCCCCGCTGCATGAAGTCCCATCCCTGTTCTAAATCAATTGTGCTGCGCTGATTCATTGACATTATGATACCTCCAAACTTCAAATTTTAGTGCACACAGCTATTCGTCTATTCCAGTTCCAAATTGGAGGAAGAACAGCACCTGCAAACCACCCACCCCAACTAATTAGCACAATCTCAACTGAATCCAGAATATGCACCAACCAATATCACGCCTAGATGACACCCAAATAACAACAAGCGAGTACAGAATCTAAAGTAAAACCTAACCAAATAAAAATCTGGTTTATCGAGTGTCAAAACCACAATCAACTTTTCAGTCCAGATAAGACGAAGTAAAGTTAGAGCTCAGAACTTCCGCAAATCGAAGCCAAAAAAATATTCTGAAATTTCAACAATCAAAAACAGATAAGCTAGATAAAGAAATGAAAAAACACAGACTGCACACATAGATGGATACGCATACATCTCAAGTATTGAGTTAGTGCTGGAAATTTGGCATACGCACCTATCCGAGTAAGTGTTAGTAAAGGTAAAGAGCTTGCTGGGAAAGCGATCGGAGCTCCGTGGAGGATCTCGACAGAAAGGGGAGGGAGAAAGGAGATATTTAAGCCAGACGTAAATTTTGTGAATCTCTCTCGTTTTCTCTTTTTCTGTTCCCGCAAAACGTGCCCAGATATTTTGCCTATTCTGATTTTGACTTGGGATAAGTTATTGGCTTATGATTTTTGGCACCCTATTTTACGTTATGATTTTTATTTTTATTTTTTTGAGACCAACGTCCTGTCCTTAACTGTAAAAGACACATTTAAACATGTATCATATTCAGACTAATCCTCATTTTCAGATTATGATCTTTTTGAAATAAGTCTTAGACTAATCCTCATTCTCATGTTATGGTCTTTTTGAAACAAGTATTAAATAGACGACTAAACTTATAGTTTTCGTGTAATTGGATCATTAAACATAAAAATTGTGCAATTAAATTATTAAGCAAGTAAATTATGTGCAATCAAGACATTTTTCTAATTGTTCAGAAGAATCTGATTATATTAATTACATGATATGTACTCATAATCATATTTTCATTGGTCATACTAGTTAGGATAAACGATCGAAATGTTTTCAACTTAAATTGCATTAAAAGAAATCATAAAAAAAATGTATCATTTATACATATTTTACTTGTTTGATGATTTGATTGCAAAATTTTTAATTTCAATGACCTAATTGTACAAAACTAATAAATTTAATGACTTATTTGACACTTTTTTTTTTCTTTTTGTATTTATCTCTTAGCATGCATTTGATTCATACTTAATAAAAATAGAGGGAATAAGGTTTTATCTGGTTGTTTGGTTCGGAAGTTTATTTTAGAGTTTTGTATTGCATTTAGAGAAAGTACACACATTAATACTATAAAATGCACCTAATATGAAAAATAATACTATAATGACAATCATTATTCTATGGACCATGGTTCATGTAGTTGTGTGGATCACAAATAAAAAATACATTATTTGTGTACATAAAATACATTATTCTATATAATATTAAATAATGTATATTCAGTATATAAATAATGTATTTTTAATATATTAAAAATTACCTTATATTAATGAAAAGTACATTAATACTAAAAATATATTATTTTATATATTATACATTCAGTATATAAATAATATACATTTAATATATTAAAAATATATTTTTTTAATAGTTCACACAACACTGTGATCCACCTAAAAAGTTGTCATACACATATTATCAACACACACAAATGTAAATAAATCAAGTATGGATTAGAAAACTCATTTGATACAAACTGTTGGGTACAGGGGAAGTGGCCCATGCTTCATAGGCCGCTATTGGGTCTATTAAGGAAAAAGTGTAGTCCAAGAAGAATCATAGCCCAATAACAAAAGCCCTATTTGAGGAGTTGTTATCAATCGTTATGCGTTGGACCCCTATCCAGCATGCTTGCTGGACACGGGTAACAGTGCCGTTAGACACTGTTATCTCCTTTTTTTTTTTTCTTTTTTTTTCTTCTTTTTTTTTTAAATTTCAGACCGCTTTATTGTAAGAGTATATGTTCATAATTTTATTACTATATATTAATAACTATACATTCATAACTCCATAACTGTACGTTCATAACTCTATAACTGTACATTCATAACTCCATAACTGTACATTCATAACTCCATAACTGTACATTCATAACTCCATAATTGTACATTCATAATTTTCGAAGCTCTATGTTCACAATTTTAGAGCTCTATGTTCATAATTTTATCACTATATGTTCATAATTGTAAGTTCATAATGTTAGAGCTCTTTGTTCATAATTTGATCAATAACTGTACATTCATAATTCCATACTGTAGATTCATAATCTCATAACTGTAGATTCATAACTCCATAACTGTAGATTCATAACTCTATAACTGTACATTCATAACTCCATAACTGTACATTCATAATCTTCGAAGCTCTATATTCACAATTTTAAAGCTCCATGGTCATAATTTTATCACTATATATGTTCATAATTGTAAGTTCATAATGTTAGAGCTCTGTGTTCATAATTTCATAATTGCATAACTGTATATTCATAACGGCATAACTGTACATTCATAACGGCATAACTGTACATTCATAATCCAAAAAAAAAAATAACGCCGTTAACGGCAAAACGCGCGCGAATTTTTTTTTTTTTAACTAAATGACGCGTTTTTTTTTTTTTAAAAAAACGACGTCGTTTTGGGCCCGTGTCCACATTGAAATGTGGACACGGGTCCAGGACATAATTTGCCAGTTGTTATACCATGGACCAGGGTGGTCCTAAACGACATATAAATTGTGTATTTTTAGTATTAGAATTATGAACTTGTAGAATATAAATTATGTTTTTAAGTCAAAACACATAATAATTGTAGAAGAGAATTTGTGAATACAATACAGAGTCACCGAATCCTAATTTGTTTATATTGTGTAACTACAGTATTTGAAATAAACTTGTGAATATAAAACAATATAATCAATTACATATATATGTTAATGTTGTGTATTTGTAATATACGAATTGTAAATTTTCAAAAAGTAAATTGTGAACATTTAGACCGGGTCCATAAAATAATTTGTGGTATTTGAGAGGTAGAGGTTGAGGAGCAAATTATGTTGTGGACACGAGTCCAAAACAACGTCGTTTCAGGAAAAATGACGGCATTCCAGTTTTTTTTTAAAAAAAATTGATTTTGTCTCGCCGTTAACGGCGTTATTCGTTTGTAGAATTATGAATGTACAGTTATGAAATTATGAACACAGAGCTCTGACATTATGAACTTACAATTATGAACATATAGTGATAAAATTATGAACATAGAGCTCTAAAATTGTAAACATAGAGCTTCGAAAATTATGAATGCACAGTTATTAAATTATGAATGTACAGTTATGGAATTATGAACACAGAGCTCTAACATTATGAACATACAATTATGAACATATAGTGATGAAATTATGAGCATAGAGCTCTAAAATTGTGAACATAGAGCTTTGAAAATTATGAATTTACAGTTATTTAATTATGAATGTACAGTTACGGAATTATGAATGTACAGTTATGGAAGTATGAATATACAGTTATGGAATTATGAATACAGAGCTCTGACATTATGAACTTACAATTATGAACATATAGTAATAAAATTATGAATATATACTCCTATAACGAAGCGGTCTGAAATTAAAAATAAAAAATAAAAATAGTAGAAGATAACAGTGTCACTAACGGCACCGTTACCGTGTCTACAATGCATGCTGGATACGGGTTCATAGCATACCGATTGAGATTGAGGTACATGGACGAGGAACATGTGGTCCATTAAAGAAATCCAACAAAAATAAAAGAAATCTCAGCTCTCATGCGTGAACTATCGAAGATACTATGTACCCTCTTGGAAAAATAGCAAAGGGAGACTTTTCACAAGAAGTAATCTCGTTTTGCTGATTACTTCTCGTATAATGTTTCAATTTGTCACAAGAAGCTAAGCAAAACAATATTGAAAATGTTATAATGTTATACCTTCTCGTATAATTTTTAATTACCAAATGTCAGTTTTCATGAGAGTTGTTTTTACGTTAAATACTAAAAATAGTAAGAGATGTGACACATTTATAATGTATTACACATTTTATTATTTTCAGTATTTAACAATGTTACGATTCACATTGTAAAACTTGATGATAATGTAAATGTGAACAGTATGGAGTGAATTCCATTTTTGGTCATATTGTTATAGGGACATTTTTAATTTCAGTCCACTTTAATTTTTTTTTTTGTCACTTTACAACGACTGTTATTGAATGTGTTCAACTTTTAGTCCACCGTTAATATTTACGTCAAGAGGCCGTATAATCAAAGGGTATTTTGGTCTTTTTATGTTTGTCTCTTCTCTTTTAATCCCGGCGCTTCGTCCTCCTCCTCCGATATTCGAAGATGGCTCTTCGAACAACGAGAATGGGAAGCCAAAGCTACATTGTTTCGTTCGTTCCAACATGGGCCGGCGAGGTTTCTTAGATTTTAGGTTTAATGTTCACATTTCTTTAGTCAAACATAGTCTTGGATGAGAAGAAAGGTCAAAATACCCCTAGATTACACGGCCTCTTTATAGAAATACTAACGATGGGACTAAAAGTGGAACACATTCAATAATAGTGGTTATAAAGTGGCAAAAAAAATTTAGGCGGACTAAAATTGGAAACGCCCCTATAATAGTAGGACCAAAAATGGAATTCACTCGAACAGTATGTCATAGACTTAGTTTTGATCGAAACATATTGACCTGTATACTCATTATTCTTTGTTATTATATTCTAAATTCAACCAAATAATAAAATTAGTATTCTCAGTAATTCATCTTTCCACTAATCAAACAATAGAATCGATCAATATTCTTAATAATTTCTTTAACTTGGGGAGAGAAATTTTGGTCGGAATTGAAGTTAAACCCTTTTCTCAAACACCATAGTTAAACATTGTACTGATGCACAGAAAAGTTCGTTACATTGCATTTTTAGAGTTAGCAAATTATGACCAATATTATTATAATACTCACTGCTGGAAATCTCGCGTTTTCCGTCCAACGAATATTGAACGGAAAACGCAATATATTGGTCGGAAACGAGGTTTCCGTCCAACATACCGACCAAAAGGAACGTTCGGAAAAACCCTTGTCGCAAATTCCGTCCAATTATGATTTTTGGTCGGAAATAGCGTCCAACAAACAAAAATTGGACAGAAATTTCGGAGAGTAACCCACCATTCTTAAAACGTGGGAATTTCCGTCCAACTACGTGTGTTGATCAGAAATTCAGTCCAACTACATGCGTTGGTCAGAAATTCCGACCCAACGTTGGACGGAAAACTCGCATATTATATTTTGTTATTTTACTTCCAACTGTTGGTAGGAAAATCCTAAATCATATGGAGTTTTTTAATTATTTTTATATTACCATAATTTTATTTATACCTGTTGTTTATAAATTATATGTCATCAACAAATTAATAGACACACTAAATTTCAAGTTTTTTAATTATTTTTATAATTTTATTTATACCTGTTGTTAATATATTTTATTTATACCTGTTGCTCTCCATGGTGCTGAAAGCAAGATAAATCTTTATTCCAATGATCCATGCCACAATTACAGTTAAGGAAATCAGCAGATTGAACATTAGACACAAAATTAATTTTTATTTATAAATTAAAACATTCTCTAATTCATATTCATATCTTTTGTTTAAAATAAGATGAAACTCACAGAAATTCCCCAAGACCCTGATGCAGCCTGTCCAAAATATAGACAAAAGAATTCAGAAAATATCTAAATCCACAAACAAAAGATTTGATTACTTCATTTTGTTCAACTTCCAATACCTCATCACTGGCTTGTTCATTCACCTAAATAGCCATTGCTCTTTAAGCTTCACCAACATCTTATCAAGAAGTTGCAACTTGCCAGAAGATTCAAGTAGCTGCTTGTTATACAAATGCAAGTGACAGAAAAATAAATTAAGTTGAATAGAAAAAAACATGACAATCTTAAGGTTAATCATTGGTGTATTCAACCTGTACGTCCAAACCATAAATTCCACAATATAAATTCATAATACATGGAGCTGCATAGACAAACTAATCAGCAAACCACAGGATTAAACACATGATTAATGAGCTCAAACATTGCAATAATGAGTACAATACATTACAACAACTTATTATAATTCTTATGATATATATTTAGGAATTTAGGGCTTAATAAAATTAGGATTTAGTGATAAATGAAATTAAGAATTCAGGGATTAGGGTTAAGGATTTAGAGAAATAGAACTTACCTATATTAGAGACGACGACGTACGAAGTAGCTGCGGCGGTTAAGACCGATAAAAAAATTCCTCGACGCAACAACCGGCGTGCTGGCGGGAAGAGGTTGCAGCGACCGATTTGAGGTGCGTCGTGAGGAGTTGAGTGGGATGAGCGAGGGCAACGGCGATGAGCGACGAGCGAGGGCAACGGCGATGAGCGACGAGCGAGGGCAACGGCGATGAGCGACGAGCGAGGGCAACGACGACAGGCGAAGAGCGACGGCGGTCAGTGACGATGGAGAAGGTGGATGGGATTTTGAATTTTGATGGAGATGGTTGCTCTGTTTGCGGCTGTGGAAAAGTGAAGGAGATATCGCCAAATATTTTAACTTCCCGCTCCTTAGGTTGTTTTTTGTATTGAAAGATTTTAATTTTCAGTCCAACATTTTGTTGGACGGAAATTAAAATACCTAATATTTCACTTTTTACCTATTAGTCCATTCATATTTATCGATCAATATTATAGGTTGGATAGAATTTACTTCCAACAATGGATGTTGGACAGAATTTCCGTCTAACATTCTTGCGTTGGACGGAAATTCCGACTAAAATTTCGTCCAACCATTTTTAGAGACGAGAAGTTTAGATTTTTAATAAATTACCGACCAACATTATATTGGACGGAAATGTTGGTCGGAAATGGCGAGAATTCCAGCAGTGACTGTTTAATACATCTTCCGGTATCTTCTAGTTACAAATATTTTGGCATTTATGCTAAAAACCAATATATGATTTTGTTGGGCTGCTTGGGTACGGTATTGGCTATTTCGTTTGATCCCCATAATACCAAGTCTCAAACTGGTTATGCTTTGTTTTACCTTCAAATCCTATATGAGGACAATAAAACTTGTGTTGCACAAATGATAAATGTGTATGTTTATGAATATTTGATAAAGTATATATAATGTCAAAATTCAATCTACATGAGCTCCAGAAGAGTCACACAATTATTATACAAGATACTCACTCTAGTGACAATCTATAAGATTTGTTCATGGCCCTGGCCACCACAACACTCTAGCAACAACAACATCGCGACATTCTTTTGATGAACGGTGGCGTCTCTGAAAAATTGTCTTTCTTGTTGAAAAGTTATTTTTATAGATTTAAAAAGAAAAAAACTAAAGTAGTGACGATGTATTCCATTAAACAAAAATTGCAAATAATTAGCCAACTATTACGTAGTATGATGCCACATCTAGAATCATTCTAAATATGTTGTCACAAGATCTGGTGAGGCATTAATTCTTTGAGATGAAAAAGATTAAGAGAGTATAAAATAGATAATGCTTTATAAATGAAAAAAAAAAAAGGATTACAGGTAATTTTAAAATTAAATTTACTTTGTAAGTTATTGCATATATATAATTTTAATTTAAATGTTGACAATATTTTCTTTTAAAATTGGATAGACTTCATCACAGCCAATAACAGTTCCACAATTGACCAAACTAAGCCAACAACAACCGCACAAGTGCAGCACTGACGATGTTCACAATTTATCAAACATACAATGACCTAAAAGGGTCTACATAAATACCCATAATTCCTAATTCTTTACAAATAAAAAATAAATTAATAATATTATTATAAATATAAAAGTTCCATTTATAAACTTTTGCAGTGAAATATAAACTAGATATAACCGGTTGATAAGTGTCAACTTTTTTTTTCTTTATAATTTATCATGGCACATATAATATCTCATTAAATTAATAATGTGTACGTGTAGTTGTGATGATGTGGAAATTAAACTTACTTAAAACTAACATTTGAATTTTATAAACTTATACTACAATCCTTTTATTATTCCAGTACTATTTTAACTTATTCAACTAGTTTTTACTACGTACTTCCTAAATAGTAAATACAAATACTAACTGAACAGGATGAAATGAGACTGTCGGCAGAAAGCTTTTCTATTATTCGCTTATTCAACTACTTGTAATCTCTTTACAGAAACTAAACGAACAAGATGAAATGAGTATGCTAGCACGAAACTTTTGTATTAGCTTATTCAACTACTTGTAATCTCTTTACAAAAATTAACTGAACAATATATGAAATGAATATGCAAGCAGCAGAGAGCTTCTGTATTAACCTGTAATCACCTCTCGATTGCACATACAAATTTGGATATGATGAAGTGAGTACGCTAGCACAATGTTTATTATGTATTAACTTATTCAACTATTTGTAATTAGCTACTACAGAATTGAAACACTGTATATGCTAACATCCTCATTTCATCATGTTCAGTTCTTGCCCAATTTTAATTGAAGTAATTAATCAATCACAAAAAAAAAAATCAATTAATTAGTAACCTATATGAACATAATATGATTATCATTTTAAAACTTTTAAAATTTGAAGAAAGGGGAGTGAAGAAAAATAAAAGGGAATTAAGAAATTAAAAATGTATGTTATAAAAAACAACAACCCTAAATTTGGAATCTTCTTCGTTAGAACAGAATCATCCTTGAGAATCTCCACCATATGAAGCGGAGTTGAAGAAGTACGGCGCCGGAAAAGGGGGCAGAGCTTCACCGCGAGGCGCCGGAGTTGTCGACGGTTGACCGGAAGAGGAAGAAGGAGAGTGAAGAGGAGGAGGGTGATGATCTTCCATCATGGAATCTTCATTATTGTTAAGCTGCACCGATCTTTGATCCCCTTCTTGCTCTCTGAATATGTGGAGGTACCTCTTCAGGGGGCCCACGAAGTCGTCGAAGCCCAGCGTCCCCAGGGCCCAGCAGATGTCGTCGCCGTTAACCGTTTTCCGGCGCTCGCGGCGGCACTTGTCGGAGGCTTCTCCGGTGACGAAGCCGATGAACTCCGACGCGCATTCCTGCATTGTCTCCTTGGCTTCTTTGGAGATTTTGGCGTTCTGCGGCAGCCTCTGCTTCATGATCCGCCCCACGTTGGCTATAGGCAGCAGCAGCTGCTGGTCTTGCTCCGCCCTCGAACCCCCTTCATCGTTGGAGCCGCCGGCACCCCAATTCTCCGCCATTTTTTCCAGTATAATTTTCCTCAGCTCAGTCAAACTTATCCATCTTATATGTATATATATATATATATATATATCTATATCTCCATATCTCTCTCTCTCTATATATATTCTCTCTCTCTCTCTCTCTCTCTCTCTCTCTCTCTCTCTCTCTATATATATATATATATATATATATATATATATATATATATATATATATATATATATATATATATATATATATATATATATATATTATAATATAATATAATAATATATACTATGTAAAAAAGAAATACAACTATTAGTAAGGATAAATATGACACGAGGTTTAAAAGTAGTGGGATGCTGAGCTTGACTTAGTACACTTTTTGTCAAATAATCTCAATACTTGCTCTAATATTAATTACTGTATATTGTTAGGTTTATTACTATATTGTCAATATCTAGTATATGTCTAATTTTATTTTTTTTTTATATTTATAGTCTAAAGTTATGTCATGAGTAAGATGTGTGACCGTTGTAAAATTGTTTGTAAAACTCGCAGTCATTATTTGAATGTGTATACTGGATATCGTACTCCGGTGTAATAACCCACAGGATGTTAGACCACCCTACCATTTTTGTTAACACTAAAACTAGTTGTCATTATCCGATGGTGTGAATTAAGTAAACCTCGATTCTGTGTAATAGCCTACAAACTACTCAGGTAAATCGCACTAGGAAGACCTCGTGCAATAGGCTTAACAAAAAAGGTGTTGGCAGCCGCTGAGACTTAGCGTAGTTGGTTCGTGCCTAACTTAAAAGTCATAACTAGAGGCAGAGGGTGATGGAAGGCCTGTATTTGATGCACATGAAAACTAGAATCTGACCGATGCACTGATTGCGCGACTCACGATTTACCTCGGTAGTGGCTCTAGAGACCGGATCTCGTGGGTTTATGATTAGTCCAACAAAAATGAGATCACCTAAGTTAAGAAAAAAAAAACATTATATTGGCAAGAAATAACCTCATGTATATTTAGACACGAGAATCATGTTCCATTTCACTTGACCACACATTTCAGAGCAGATGAGAGATTATTGCACCATTATAAACTAACCAAGCTAACTAGTTTGCATTTTGGGATACTTAATTTACTATTGAAGATGTGTAATTCATGAATGGTAATATACAAATTTGAATATTTGATGTTGAGTTTTTAGTTATATTTATGTTAAATATGATACATCACATCTTTTTAAAATATTTATCGTGTTGAGAGGGTTTAATTTGAATTTTTTTTAATATTATATATACTTTATAAATAAATATGTATTGTGAGTTGGGTCTACGTAAAATAAATTGGGATGTCGTTGTCTAGCACGTACGATTAAAGAATTTTCCACGTCGGGATGTGAGATTATTGGATGAATGCTAATCCTTTTGTCTTCTAAAAATAAGCAGAGCGCTGTTGTTGAAGATGACATGTTAAGTCAACCAAAGCTTGGTTAATCAGCTTTACTTTCTTCTCCTAAAAAAAGTTAAATCTCAAACTCCAAGGGCCCTCATGTTCTGACTCGATAAAACATTTAAGAAGATAGATGTAAATTCGGTAACTCAATTGCTCAGTAGACATAACTAAATGCCGGTGCGCACAAAGAATTTGCCGCTTTAGACACAATTCTTACAGTACACTAACACTACCAAAATTCAAACATTGATGTATTCTTTCAAATACTGCTTTACTGAAATCATTAAGCCAAATCCGTACGAGCATCAGCTTTAATTTGCTTTCTTGGCTAAGACTAGAGGAAGGACAATAATGGCACTTACATATTATGATAGGTAGAAGTACATGGACATTATCTATGTTTAACCCACATCCGATCCCTCCAAAATTCATCACGTACAATTTTGTTAGTATCTCATTAGGGATTGGAGAGATTTGAGTACTAGCAATTATTGATTTTTCTATAAATCAAAGTAATTCTCTTTAAAGTTGAATTCCTTATAGACATTATTGTAGCAAATTCTTGGTTCTTGATTTGTCATGCGCATCTTAATATTAACTCATTTTGCAAGACCCTAGGAGGGGGACATTCCTAGATTGGGATTATTTTATTTTATTTTATTTTGTGTAAAAGGGAGGGTTTAAATAAAACAATACATATAGTCAGCGTTAACGTTGCAATATAAGATTGATTTCATTAGTTTTCAAGTTGATGCAACTAATTCCATCCCATCATGTTAGCATTGCTTGTAAAATTGAATACATAATATTTAATTTATTACGGAGCATATTAATTGGCTAATTTAGGGTGTGTTTGGTTCGCACATGGAAATCGGAATCGGAATGAGTATCAAATACTTGGTAATGTTAATGTGTTTTGGTGAAAGTATTTAACATATATGTTTGGTAGTAGGGTGGAATGAGAATGGTTACTAATAGTAGTGCTTGAGAATGAATAAGGGAAAGAAACTCTTATTTTATTTGGGTATGAGTTTTGCAATTGATGGGATACTTGAAACTCATAGTAGTGTTCTAAAAATCTATCAATCAAACAATAAGAATCACTTTCATACTCATTCCTATGGGCAAAACTCATCAACCAAACACACCCTTAGTATGTTAGTATATATGCATTTATAAAAACTATGTTATGCAAGTATGGAGTAGCCTTAAATCTCTAGGTCAATTGTGTCATCTAAAAGAGGAGCCTTAAATCTCTAGGTCAGTTGTCTCATCTAAAAGAGGTGTCTACAATTTAACGAATGGATTAGTCACCGTGTCCAATGATAAAAACTCTGGATACATCCAAAAAAAAAAACTATGCTATGCTGTGCTCTCTACTCCCATAACAATTGTTACTAATTGGACAATGGACTAGTTAGAGGCTTGAAGTATGATTGTGCTTGCATCAAATAACACTTACTAATTAACAACCCACTCTCTCGTACGACTAACCACTCATCCAACAAAAATACTTACAATTGTCACTATACTTTTTTTTTTTTTTTAAGTGGATAACTTAGATTTTTTTATTTCTCCATATTATACTCTGGACTCCATAAATTCAGCTACTAGCCCATAATAAGGTAAACCGAGTCAATCTAGATATGAGACTTAATACTAAACTGTACATTTCTGCATACAAGTAACACAATCTTTCTAACCTATTATAATATTTGTTCAACAATTATGCCAACCATGATTGAGATATGAGTTTCTTTTTATAGTAGTATCTTGTTCTCATTTGAACAACTCCTCCCACACACATATTATATTGGAATTAGCTTAATTCAGTTGGGAAAAAAAAATGTGATTTTCACCAGCAGATTTCAACCTAAAATATTGAATCATTTATATTACATCCTTGTCTTATATTGCTGTTTTTACCCAATTTTTTTTGAGCTAGTAATCATTAAAAAAAAAAAAAATGAAACATTATACGATATATATAATAGATTGGTTTAATAATGATAGATTTTATCCAGTACTATTTCTTCTACTTATTTATTTTATTTATTACAAAATTACTCACAAGTCATTCATATTGATATGAAAAGAAAATCAAATAGTAGATTATTTGTTATATAAATTAGCATTTTGAAGGTATCCTCAAAGGGATATTTTCCTTCCACCATCGAAGTTCAACTATGTGACCATCTATTTGAAATGATAACAACGGTGTCATCACCCTACCCTATATTTATTTGTTTGTATATTTTTACATTTACATAATGTATAAAATCTTCAATGCTATTGAGTTATGTAATATTTGTAGATGAGATCGTGGAATTTGCCTCTTAGCCCCTTCTCAGTTCTCAGTAATAAATCCCTCATTTTTATTTAAATTTAACAAGGTGGTCCACAAATGTAACTATAACTTTAATTTCTTCTTAAATAATTGCAGTAATTTAAGTCTACATTATATTATTATCCTATTAATGTTTACTACTACTACTAATAATACTTATAATAATAATATGAAACAATCTCAACTAAGTTCTCATAATATTACAAATTTGACTCACAAAAAAAGAGATTTACCTAATACACCCTCTAGTAACTGTGAATTTTGCTCGTCACTCAAAACATATAATAATATAAGCCACTCAAGTGATAAAAATAAGCGACTCCATTGTATTGAAATTGAACAATATTCCAAAATTCAAATCCACCGTAATATTATTTTCTTAAATTTCAATATTTTTACTCAATCATAAAAATGCGGCAAATTATTACATAATTTACATATTGAATGATCACAATTTAAATACTGAATGATCACAATTGTGTAAAATGGTAAATTATGAACATTCAATATTCAAAGGGTGTATTTTAGATCTAGATTCACCTTACAAGGTAGACCCTGATCCATGATATAACAATTGTAAAAATGCATTAATTATTCATGATAAAAAGCAGAAGAAAGAGCTTAATTTCAAATCTCAAAAATATAAATCATGAACTGGTCCATTTTGTCCTTTTCAAGAGCCATCCATACGTTGATCCCATCCACATTGGCGTTAGAAAGGAGGACAAACTCGTCATTTCCACTCATGACCGGACCACTCAAGTTCCCCAAACGGCAGTTTCCACCATGCCGACACGAAGAAAGTGCCGTTACATGTCGCCGGAATCCCCTGTATACTTCCAGCCAGTCTATCGCTGACCTCATATTATCGTCTGTCACTCTCTCCTTTGCTTCCTTCACCTTCTCCACCCCGAAACCCAGCGGAATTATACCAATGATATAGACTTAATCTTTGATTTATATACATAATAATCTTTAACTCCTAACTTATACTCAAAATAGTGATTTTAGTCTATCATGATTATTTCTGCTACCAATAGGTCACTTAATAAAGTGATTGATCTGATCTTTCAAGAACTAAAATAGCCACTTTGCCCATAACTACATAAATAAAAATAAAAATCTCTATCATTATAGTGAAATTTAAATATTAAAAAAACCTCTCTCCCTAAGTTCTTGTCTCTCTATTATTGTCTTTGTCTTTACAGTTTACGGCCCCTATTTCCAATTGAACGGCCCTGGTACCATGGGTATGATTAGAAGACCAAAAATACAATTTTTCCTTTTTTTTTTCACTTTTTAATTAACAACGTTGCAGACCAATCATCACTCATCAAATATGGGGAAAAAAATCAACAGCCTGACCTGATATCCACAGCAAAGAGAACAGTAGAAGAAGAGAAGCTGTGGGTGTTTCCCCCCTTCAAAAAGGGCTCTTGTTCTGGCCTTCCATATATGACCCACCATGGCATCAAAGGTGGAGCATTTAGGGTTTGTTTTCATCTTGAGAGATTTCAGCATTTGAGTGGTGAAGGAGAAGAGTTTGTAGACATATTTCCCTGAGAAGATGAGTGGAGATGGAGAGGTACGGTTTCTGGAGGTGAAGGATGATGAGAGAGATAGGAGGTTTTTGAGAGTTCAATGTATTCTTTGTGGGTAATTGATTTGAGGGGGATTTCTTGCTGTCATGCATCTTCTGTCATTGTTTATGACTTGAGTTTTGAGGCCTTCACCTCTGCAAATACTAGCCAGCTTCTCAAACATCTCACTTGCTGATTTCCCATCCACTATTGCATGGTTTGTCATAAACCCTAGTGAAAACCCTCCACAACTAAACCTAGTCACCTGCACAAACCTCAAAACAGCCATATTCATATCTGTTCAACATGCTAAATGATTAACCTCAAGGCTTTGATGGATGGACACTAAAAAAATTATGAGATTAAGTGTCAGTTTTGGAGCAGTCTAGAATCAGTTATAACAGATCGGTGGACTCCTTTTTAGCGTTTTCGACTTCTGCCAATGTGTTTTTTGGGGAGACACATCTAATGTTAGTACCTACGACACTAGACTCTTTTATGACGTTTTCAATTTCTGTTATTAAGTGTAGTGTGGAGAGTGGAGAAAGATTAAAAACCATTAGAATAACTAATGTTTGAGTATCTAGTGTCGGTTTTAACCATCATTCGGTTCTCACCCAGACTCTAGAGTGGAGCAAATGGGATGAGCCTAAAGGAAGGGAAAAAAGACTATTAGACTTGCCTGGATGGTGAAGATGGGAATTTCAGCAAGGGTTCTGTATAAACCGGGGCGATGAATGAGATGATGGAAGGTTGGGTTTGGGAGGGAGAGGTTGCCAAGATCCTTGAGAGCAAGCCTGCAACTTGCATCCACAAAGGACACTCCACTATTGTTGCAGACAAGCTCCAGCCTGTTAGTCTCATTGTTGAAGTTAAGCCTGCCAGCCATGAAATAGTATGGACTCAAAATACTTCCTCATTGCCTTCCTCACCACTACAGATATGTTAGCAATAACACCACAGTCAGGGGGCACCTGGAAGAAGAAGATTGTTTCCACTGGAAAAGCCAAAGTTTGATCAATATTTGAGAGGAAAATAGTTTCATTGGTGTTGGGTTTGTTGAGGAGAAAAGTGGTATTGCTTCTTCCTTGACAACATCTTGTTGACTTGTTTGGTCAAAGAAATTGTGCCATAAACTACCATTATAACAGTGCTACTTAATTAGCTTCAAGTATGCCAATTCAATCAATTTATGTGTTTCTTAGCTTCTTCAATTCAAAAATTCTGGCCTTGCTTGCATAATATATATGAAAAATTGTTAAGCTGAATAAATGTGGTCATGAAAAGCAAGTAGAGGCTTGATTGGTACAAGTCAGGATTAAAAAGGGAAATTTGGGTTGGTATAAGTGTCAGTTAAACTATATTTTGCCAATTTGGGTGTAAAACATACATTTTTTTTTTATTGCATGCAAGAATTGCACTTTAATTATAATTGGATGGTGTAGGCTAAAAGGGAAAATCTATTGCATAGGTACAAAGTTTGTGAAGGCCAAGATGTCAATTTAAAATTTTGAACACCATGCTTGTTGGCAAATTTTAGACTTACATACAGAACTAAATTCTAATAAGTAACATTATTAGGGTTCGTTATGAACAATGGGTGTTCTTTTAATGCTTGTTTTATTCATAAAGTTAAATTTTGAATCGTTGTTTAAAAAAGTAATAAATTTTCTCACATTCAGACTACAAAGTACAAATCAAATTAAACTCATTACCTTCTAAAAGTCTTTTGCAAAATTACATTTTGAAATTGTTTGAGGCCTCAATCCCTTCTTGCTTAGCTCTGTATGGGTGCTGCTGCAGACTTCCTTAACATCTGAAATAAAAGAGGCCATAACTAAAACTATATTAAATCATGTTTGGAGGATATGTTTGTACCAATGATTTGAGCATATATATGCCAATCCCTGCACTTCACATAAGGTATCAACAAGAAGAAAATATTGCAATATGGAACCATTTTATATCTATGAATAAGATGAATAACAGCATTCTGCTGTGTGAACAACAAATCCTGCTACTAAACTTCCTATAACTATAAAATTATGCCCTCGTGGGATCAAAAAAATATATATGAGCAGTGTCCCCCATCCCCTTTATTTCCTTCCTATCGCCGGGGACCCTTGTGTATAAATCAAGTTGAAAGAATGACAAAATCCAACTTGCTTACCCCAGCACACGAGGAAAAATTGAAAATAAACAAGTTAGGTTCATCTCAATCTATTCTAACCAATCTGATGTAAATTCGTAGGCAACAAATGTTACAGCACCAGCAGGAGCAGCTTTAACAATTGATGGAACTATGCCTTTATAAAGCCCAGCCCATCCCTCATGGAGTAAAATGCGATGGAGAGCATCATTCATATTTCTGTATGCATTATGCTCAACTTGAGCGCCATATCTTGGATGCCTCTTTAGTCCTTCAATCTGCAAAGATGTTACATGTAAATTGGCTAGGGATAAAATTTTCAGTCAGTGCAAACTCAAATTCATTTCCCATTCTGCAGCATTAAGAGAATGGTAAAACCTCATCTAAACCATAATCCTACACTGGATCATGTTGGCTTATACATTCTCTTTCTCCATTCGATGTTCTTTAATGATAGTTAGGTCATAATGCACTTGTGGCAGCATGTTTTTCAAAAATGTCTACACTAAATCAATATGTCTACCAATCTCTAGCCTAGCTCCTACTACTACCATTTACCTCTTACACTGAACAGAAATGAAAAGACATATAAGTAGTTTTAGGTGTTATTCACGAGCTTCACAATCAATTAAATGTGCATAGACCTGGTAGAGTGCATTGCTAATGGATAAAAAGGTTATGCAAAACAAAGGCATAACAGAAAACTAAAACAATTGTTAGTTTTAACATCTTTGGCAATATTCCATGCCAGAAACTTAATAATCTAGTAGCTCAACGCAGGAAATCTACCTGAAACCTCTTTTTCACTACATCAAGGGGATGACAAACAGCTTTAGCAGTTGTTCCAGCAGCTAAACCACAGAAAAAGAGCTGGAGGCTTGAAGGAGCAAAATCACCTTGGCTCATGTCTAATGACCTAAAACGGTTCCAATCCTAGAAAAATTGTTGGCCAACAAAATCAAGATACTGTAAACCTGCAGCTTAAAGTTGGTGAAAAAGGAAAAGAATTGTACCACTGTCCAGCGCTTGAATGCATCATAAGTTCCAAACTGCAAACCAGCATAAGGAATGATTTCGACGAGCGTAGGACTCAATCCAGAATACAGGCCTCGAATCCCACGACTTCTAAGTATATCAACAAATGCAGACCTCATGTTTGGGTAAACCTGCAAGTGTGCACTCCACCTGAGTCTCAAAAGACCTAAATAATATGAATGCAAATACTATATGCAACACACTTCTTTTAACTGGCCATGTGTTACACATCATTCATTCTTTTTCATTGTCATAATTGAAATCAAGAATTACTACACATTTACTTTGACTAATCAGAAATATTGCTGTGTTCATCAGCAAAAGTTATTAAAAAAAATAAAAATTAAAAATAAAAATAAAAATAAAAATAAAAAATAAAAACCTTTGGCTCCCCTTGTGAAGCTAATAATGTTCTTAGCAGGTCAAATGGATATGATCCAACGGTAGCTGCACAGCCTGCTAATGCTCCGCTGGTAAATGAAACTAATGGGCTCAAGTTCATGTGGTCTTCTGCATAAAATCAAGCCACAATGTTAGAGACACAGAAAAGTAAGACACAGAGGTGCTTATCTAGATCATTAAGATATTATATATGCTACAGAAAATTCAACTCCCAAGTCCCAAATGCACATATAATGAATACTCAATACAAATGGAACAACAGGAAGTGCTAGTGTATGTGAGAACTGGGATCTTTGGCAGTTTGGCCAAAACAAAATAATTGATTGAAATATTGAATATTAAGTTTGGTAGAGTACAATGACAAACCTGATTTTGAAGATCCAGAAACAAGGGTTTTCAACTTGTGCAACACAGTAAATTGTATGGCAGTATATGGCATCACCATCAAAAGTGCTGGAACGTTACCCCGCCAATAGCCCTGTAACAAAATTCCCAATTAAATAAACCACACAACTTGTAATCACCTTTAAAGGGGAGGTTGTAATTATGTCAGTAACATTGCCATTTTTAAGTCTCAGAATGTGCACAGTTGCATACTTTTGAAATAATTATTAAATAAGTAGAAAAGAAATAATGTAATACCGGTAAGCCTTCCTCTCTGAATATGTCCCTAGATGCTTGCAGCATCCCAGTGTACTTAGAAGGTTGATATACATCCCTGGCAAGCAAGGCCCATCTAGAAGTAGGTTCCAATTGAACCTGAAAACAACTAACAATATCAGGTCCTCTCCTTCTCAAATCCAAGCATAAGCACCCGGAGAAGAAAGGTAAATAGCAATTAACATGGTAAAACATGGTAAATAGCAATTCGAGCAGCATTACCTGGAATCTGATCTTAATCACATCGAGCGGCGATGTCACGGTCCTCGATATGCCACCGGAAATTGCACCTGCCGTGGCATCGTTAATTGCCCTTCTAAGCTGCCCCGCCTCTTCCATATCCTGTTTTGGACTTAACCTGCCTGCATCTCGGTTCCAAAACCACCCTCGCATTAAAATCTCCCTTGATCGCACAAACAGAACGAGAGCTAACGCCCTGTGCAGTTGTGCACGAACATCCCCCAACCCCCAACCTCACTCCCTTCGCCATTTCCCGTCAATTTACACCAAAAAATGCCGGGAAAATCATCTAAAACAACAAAACTAACCCTGGCACGAATTACGCGCAATCTCTCCCTCTATACACACACAATCATACATATACATTAAAAAAAAAAAAAAAAAAAAAAAAAAAAAAAAAAACAGAGAGCAATTGTTTAGGGTATAGTGAGGTTTGTGTTGCATTATAGAAATGCGAAACAAGGCTCCAAAATCAGGAACACGGAGTAGATCAACGGATATTGCAACGTAGAGATTGCAAAGAGGGATTACCTGAGAGAAGACAAGCGGGACAGTTCGGGAACGCTGTTACATCAAAGGAGAGCTGCCGGCTATGGGGGAGATGGCGGTGGGAGGGAAGAAGAATGCGCGGGGGAGGGGGGGCGATTGGAAGAGCGGATGATTAGGGGCGTGTTTCTGAGTCGGTAAGGACCTAACGATTTAACGAAACATATATAATTATATATATTGAAAAAGCTTTGCACTTTGTGAGGTCAAATACTCAAATCTTTGCTTTTAAACATGGACGGTCACGATGCCTCTCTTTAATTTTTCGAGAGTGTTTGATTCATAGGTTTGCCCACTAATATGGATGCTCACGATGCCTCTCTTTAATCATCATTATCATTATCATCATCAACATATGGTGAAGGAATATAGTTTATATTGTAAGATAAAGTATTAACATATATATGTTCATTTTTAATATTTTACATATATTTTGAAGATTTATTTTTGATGTGCTGTAAATTCATTTTTAGTTTGTTATCTAAAAATAAATTTTTAATATACTAAAATTTAATATTAATTAAAAAAATTAATATTGATTAGTAATCTACTTTATAATCTGAACCACATAGCTCAGAGTATAATTTGTTTTGGGCATTGGGTTGTCGACTCATGACCTAGATAATAATTATATCATATACTACAATTCATATTGTAAGGTGAATTATTGACCTAAAAAATTTTTTAGTCTATTAATTATTAAATTTTAGTATGTTGAATGTTATTTTTTAAAATGAGCATTAAAAATGAAAGAGTAAATACTCAAAATGGTCCCTTGACTATGGATAAATTCATAAATTGGTCCTCAACTTTCAATTTCATCTAATTAAGTCCTTAACTTTGTAATTTAATACAATTTGGTCCTCTGTTTATTTGACCGTTTGTTGACTGTGATTTTTGATGATATATATGTAATTTCATGGTCCATCGTCGATTTTTTAAGGTTCCGGTTGCATTTCCAGACCGCACTGTTACATTTGAATCCAATGTCGAAAGCAATCTACCAAACCCGGTCACTTTTCTTCATCCTCCCTTTGGATTCAATGTAGTTGAATTCGTATCAGAGCGAAGAAGACGACATGTTTCCGAACCGGTGCAACGTCATCCTGGAGGCCTCTACGTGCTCCGACGAGAGCTGAAGGTTCTTCTGGAGATCGTCGATCACGGTCAACAAACGGTCAATTTGATGGAGGACCAAATCGTGTCAAAATTGCAAAGTTAAGGACTTAATTGAGTGAAATTGAAAGTTGAGGACTAATTTGTGAATTTAGCTATAGTCGAGGGACCATTTTGAGTATTTACTCAAAATGAAAACTACCTGATTTTGAAGATCCAAAAGCAAGGGTTTTCAGCTTGTGAAACACTGCAAATTATATGGCATGACCATCAGAAGTCCTTGGGACATTACCCCTCCAATAGCCCTGATACAAAATTCCCAATTAAATGGTTCAAATTGATTCACTTCTCATCACTTTTAAAGAGGGAGATAGATTAATCGGACAATTCTAGTTAAGTTAATTGGTCAAATTATTGATAACTAAGTAAACATAAAATTATAAGTTTGACTCTCAATCAGAGCGGTATGTTGACCTTTTTATTTAAATTAATCAATTATGACAACTTAGACTGATTTACATATTTTGTGATCCTTTACCAATTAGAATCACAATATAATTGAAGAATTTATCATATGTATACTCTCACACAGTGATTACAAATTTCCCATGACTCAAGATAAAAACTAGACTAGCTAATCCGAATTATATTAGCTCGTATTGGGATTTTCCAAGCTTACAATTTACTTTAGCATATGGCTTATCAATTGTCATTGGTTCCTAAGTTTTTTAAATATCACATTTGTTCTCAAAATTATATATTATATTTTTCCTTAATAATCATATTATTCTTGATTTAGTATTATATTTGCTAGTATAAGTATTACATTTGATCCGATGCACAAATGCATTAACGATAACATCTAGAGTTTGAACAATTTAGTCTCTTCTATGTGCAATGCTCAAAAATATATGTCCAATCTTTATATGTTTTAAAAATAACAAACAAATCCCTACTAATTAAAATCGGTATGAAATCAAATTTATTTATTATAATAATCCAATATATAATGTCTACAAATATTATTATCATTATGCGGGCTGTGTTATGAATGAATGTAGAGAGCTTAAACGACACTTTGATAGGGTGTCCTTCTGTTATGTTTCTAGATCAGTGAATAAGCTTGCCCATACGTTAGCTAGGGCGGCTCGTTCGGATACTGATTCTCATTGTTGGATTTCTACTTTCCCTTCTTGTATTGCTTCTTTATTATAATAAATTTTTTGGAGGCGAGTTTTCAAACAAAAAAATTAATTAATTAATTAATTAATTATATATATATATATATATATATATATATATATATATATAAAAGAAAATATATGGTGGATGCATGTGCATGGTAACAATAATGGAAAAGATAACGTAAGTTATAACGGTAGGGGTATGTTTGTCCAAAAAATTATATAGTACAACTCTAAAAACACAATGTATAAAATGAATAGCATTACAAACATGGACATAAATGAGGGATATAACCTTGATTGAGACTTATTATGTTTATATATATATATATATATATATATACACGTGTGTGTTCTATATTTTTTCAGTTCAAAGAATCAATGCCCCTATCATGAGAGTTCAATTTTGTGACCACTTATTTAGAATAGTAACAAATGTATCATCACACATTCACACTATATAGTAGTTGACAATAACTATATATTTTTTGTGAGAATAAGAAATTAATTCATTAAATCATCAACAATACATTCAACAAGGAAAAGAGGAGGGGTATCAAACCACTCTCCGTAACTTGACACATAAAAGGCCTCTTGAGCAACAATGTGGGCGGCATGATTCGCATATCGCCTAGAAAACTGAATTTGACATCGTCAATCACGGATGTCAATTCTTTAATGTTATGGGCCTTGGTTGGGTTTTGCGGGATGATGATGGTAATTTTTTAACAGCAAAAAATGTGTGTATGACCGGGTCTTTCACTATCAAAGAAGCGGAAGCCATTAACATGAGGGAAGCACTTCGGTGGTTAAAAAAACACTGGAATTGACAACGTTATTGTTAAAACGGACTTTCAACTTTTTTCTAGAGCTCTATCTTATAATTCTATTATTTAGTTACTTGCTTTTTTGTATTTTATTTTTTGTTTGGATGATGAGGGAAACTCTCCATCATTATTGAAAATGTACATTATACAAATCTAATTTATATGTAATAAAGACAAAATTGTGAACTTTTAGTGTGAAAATTATGTTTCACTTAATTGGCTATTTTTTTGGAGTTCACTTTTGGAGCGGATGATGAATAAAGACGCATTGGTATAGTATTTCCAAATGCATTACAAATAGTTTCCAATGTTTTTGCACACTACACTAATTATTACTCCAATTTTAAAAAAATTTATTATGTGGTATGTAAAATGTCTTATTCTTAAAATAGAAAGTGAGGTGTGTATATTTGTTGTAAAATTTAAAATAAAAACAATATTCAAAATGAGACAATCTCTTTCATTTCAATTATATTTTTTTAGTTAGGCAATAATGCGTCATGAGTATCATAACGGTATGAGGCACCTTTAAACTCGTATCATACTCAGACCCAATTAAAGGACAAAATGCTGGTCAAATGGATTTTTCTATATAAGAGAAGATTCAAACTCCCGATCTCTCTTAAGAAGAGAGTGCACGACCACTCACGCCAACCAAAAATGGTTTTATTTCAATTCTATTTTGACATATTGCAATGTACATTAGTACTCCGTACATATTAATGATGTCACTAAGAAAATGGGGAATTGAACTAAATTCCAAGATATTTTAAAAGATCAATTTCTAGAAGGCTCTAGGTTTGATCCACTCTCACTTGACTTCATAAAGTAGAGTTGAATAGTTATATGGTAGTGGACAGAAGAAGATTAGAAGAATCTTGAAGCCATACCGTATGACTTGTAAAAAATTCACCATATATATACATTTGATGAGAGGAATCTTAACGAATATCCGATAATTAATGATACGTAACATATAATATTACTTTTTGTATAATAGTTCGTAAATTATATATGCAACATGCTTCTCTATATTTGAGTTAATTTCAGCAATGGTCCTTCGACTATATTAATTTTTTAAAATTAATCATCGACTTTTGATTTAGACACTTTACATCAATTGACTTTCAATTTTTTTCTAATTGAGGTCCTTTCATCAAATTATGATAAATTGAACTTTAAATGAAATGGTAAAATAATCATTTCATCTGCCTAATATATAATTCTTCGTATTTATCCATTGTATACGCGACTTCAGACATCAGATTCACTTAATTGGTTAATCTTTAAATAGAATTTTGTTATTCGAGTGGATTTTACATTAGGAATTAAGCAATTAAGTGAATCTGATATCCGAAGTCGCGTATACAATAAAGAAATATAAAGAATTTTATATTAGACAGATGAAATGACTACTTTACCCTCTCAGTTAAAGTCTACTTTACTGTAATCTAACGAAAGGACTTCAATTGGAAAGAAATTAAAAGTCAAAGGACGTAAAGGATCTACTAATTTTAAAAAATTAATATAATCAAAAGACCATTACAGAATTAACTCTCCATATTTCATACTTTACTTTTTTGGTCAAGCGACATAACTGCCGTTACAAGTTCAAATCAGTGTGAAAATATTACATTGTAGACTCACAAAGGGAAAAAAAAACAAAAAAAACAAAAAAAAAACAAAAGTAATTATGGCATTCATTACTCTGTCCAGGGTTAATTAAGAAGAAGAAGATTTTAGGAAACAGGAAGGAAATATCTTACCATGGTTAACACAACACGGTTAAGGCACTACAAAACGTTGACCGTAGTTACTTCCAAGCTCTTTCCTTTCCGAGAGTGGAAAAAACGCGATGCACTAAAGTCGGTTTAAATTATAAATTATTGAATTATTCCTTCATAGTTCCTATATATAAGCCTAAACTCCCTCTGATTTTTTTATATTCATTCTCAAACCTTCGCGTACACACACTTCTAGCTTCTCTCTACATAAATCCCTAACAAGCTAGCTACTTTCCCCAACATCCATCGCTTAACCATGGAGTTTCGTACTTTGGAAATCAAGATTATGTCGGCCAAAGATCTCAATAAGGTCACTGTTTTCTCCAGGATGAATGTTTACGTCGTCGTTTCTATCTCCGGCGGCAACGATAAATCCAAGCAGGTGTCCAAAACTCCCGTGGATCGCGACGGTGGGGCCAACCCCGCCTGGAATTTCCCCGTAAAGTTCACCGTCGATGAGGCCGCCGCTCGTCAGGGCCGTCTCATGCTCGTTTTCAAGCTCCGTTGCCAGCGCGTTCTCGGGGATAGGGACGTCGGTGAAGTTATCGTCCCTGTTAAGGAGCTTCTCGACTCTCCGGCTGCATCGGCTACGAAGCAGTTCGTGAACTATCAGGTGAAGAAGCCGTCCGGAAAGCCGAAAGGTCAGCTGACGTTTTGTTATCAGTTCGGAGAGAAAACTAACGGCCCGCCGCCTATTGCGGCGGTGGCTGCGAATAAAGTGGATGAACCCGTAACGGCCTATCCGGCTTTTACGCCGGCTTATCCGGGCTCAAGCAGCTCTGTATATTCTCCAGGTCCTACACCACCACCGCGCAATGGACCGGCAGCTAGCGGAGCAGCCTATCCGCCGCCGGTAGGGTATCCTCCAGCCGGATACGGATATCCGCCTCCGCCGGCTGCGGCGGCGTATGGTAGTGGATATCCACATCCTCCGCCTCCTGCATACGGATATCCACCGCAACCCGGATACGGATATCCATCGCAATCCGGATACGGATATCCACCGGTACAACCGCCAAAGAAGAACAAATTTGGGTTAGGATTGGGCGCCGGGTTACTAGGTGGAGCGCTGGGAGGAATGCTGATCGGAGATGCGATTTCGGACGCCGCCGCTTATGATGCCGGATATGACGACGGTTTTGACGGCGGATTTGATTTTTGATTTTTGATTTGTCACCCACCGCCTTACGTTTTTGTGTCCAATGTTCTTTTAATAATTTTGTACATATATATGTGGATGATTACAGTGTTCTTGATTTGCTTTCATTATAAATGACTCGTGCTTCGGTTATAAACTACATTAAACCAACTACTAGATACAAATTTATTAAATTTCAAAATTATAAGATTTTTTTTTTTTTAAATCACAATTTACGATAGCACAATATACCATTCATCAGAGTTAAGTCACGTTAAATAGAAAGCCAAATTATGAGCAGCACCATGAGGAAGATGATTCCTATTGCAACCAACTTTATTTTCATGGTGTGGCGCCATATGTTGCGATGGATTTGATTGGTTGTTACTCGGAATACTTGGGTCTGAAATGAAAACATTAAACTCAAATACTTATCACATGAGAATTTTATTTGCACGACTCTAATTGTTATTTATACCACTTTTTTTTTTATTTATACCACCTTTTAATAAGTGTGATAGTTTTATAGGTAGTGTAAATAAAAAAATTACTATTCACATTATCTTCATTAAATTTAGTCACACATTATATTTTTTAAAAAATTATTTATTATTTATTTTTATTTAAAAATCATAACATTAATTAAAAAAAAAAAAAAATCTTTGCCTCAGTGACCCATATTGCCTTCTACTTGGATTGCTTTCTCCCGGACGAGAGATTCTCCTATTGTTTTTGTAAAAAAATAAAATAAAAAAATACAAAAAAATTGACTAATTAAATTTTAATTAAAATTTTATTAATACAATCTCATAAGTCGCATCTAACTGAGTGGTGTAAATAGCAATATAAACAGTGCTATGGTTGTTTACACCACCTATAAAATTGTTAAATTTTTTATTATTTTTATAATTTTGATTTACACTTATTTTAACTAAAAAGTGGTACAAATAACAATAGCCAAACTTATATATGGAGTACGTAGGTGTTAAAAGCAGGGTCATTTAAACCAAACATACCGAACCACGTAGTTCATCCGGATTGTATGGCAGATTAATAGTCTTATCACTTTCAAAAGCCTGGAAGCAGGTTAAAGTTAAACTAATATTCGCAAATTAAGGAATACTACAACGTATCTATCTTTTTGTATTGCTTTATGGAGCACGTAGGCATATATTGCCAAGAATTTGTGGTATAATGACACTAAAGTTGCACTCTTATATGAGATTTGAAGTTGTGGATTCGTGCCTCAATTCTTTATACTTTAATAAGTTGAGAATTGGAATATATACCTTGACGATATTGTCGTACATAACACATTTAACTTGTGAAACTTGGGCTACTTTCTCCAGAACTTGTGAAACTTGGGCTACTTTCTGCACTTTCTCAATTTCGTCCATCATATACTGCATCTGCTCTTTCATAACCGGCCTGCATTTGCATATTTGGACACATTCCTTGTTACTTTACCATCCATTGTTTTATCAACATAGACCTCCAAGCAACTCCGATCCACTTAAGTTGGTCACATACTTGACATGATAATTATAAATTTATAAGTTGGAGAACTTTATTGATTTATTTAGTTTGAATGAGTCACTTATTAACAACTTAAATTAAATTATTTTAATAAGTTAATTTTATTTTTGTCCTAGATTTATAAATGACAATTCATTTTTAATTATTTTTTCGAAAAAAGATTCATTTTTTGGTATAGTATTATTGTGGCATGACCATTTTTTATCTTTCTTCAACAAAATCGTTGAAATATCCTTAAATAAATGATCATTTCCATATAAAATGGGTTAACCCGCTGTATTTTTATTTTTAATATTTTTTTTAAATCATAATTGAAGACCTAAAATAAATTCCATTGTATTTTACAAAATTTATTGATGAAGGACAAAAAATGATCATACCACAATAATACTAGGATCAAAAGATAGATATTTTGAAAAAACAAAGACTAAAGTGGATTATCACATATAAATCTATGACCAAAAATTGAAATTAACTCTTATTTTAATTATTTTTCAGTTAGAGTCATAAGCTCATATAATATGTAGGTCATGTTTGGCAATATAATTAGCTTATCAGACAAATTTAATTTGTTTAATTCTATTAGCTGTTTGACTTTAGTTAAATAATCCTTACAAGTGTTTAATTAATTAATTTTTTAAATAATTTATTGCTTCAAAAATATAAAATTCAAAATGAGCATTTTTTTTGAAGAATGCCATTTTACATTATTCAGTTCTATGTTAATTTACCAAACATTTTTTACAATCAACTAATATTATAATCAAACTCAGTAACTCAATCAATCTCATAAAATATTATCAAATCCACTAATTCAATCAGGTAACAATTATTTACCAAACAACCCCATATAAAATATAAATATAAGAAATGGAATAGCATACCCAAACTCCTTATCTAGACTGTTGGCGGCAGCTGTATCTGCCTTCCCACCGCCATATCTTCTCTTGAAATCTGTCTTTACATTCTCCAGAAATGCAATAGAAGATTGCGTCCCGAGTGATCCATTGACGACGACACAGTAAGCTGCACACGTCATGAACAACGTTAAATGACGATATCATATCATAGCGTAAGAATTGAAGAGCGAGAAATTAAGACTCAAATTAGAGATCGAAATGGGGGATTTACGTACTGTAGTCTTCTTCGACTAGGAAGGTGAAAGTATGGCGATGATAGTTGTAAGTGAATCTGTCGGCGGAGGAAGGGAGTTCCTGGAGGCGGTGCAGGGCAATCTGGCGGAAGTTTCCGGCGAACTCGGTGTGCGACTCAGCCAATACCACCGTGCCCCGAGCTACGAAGCTGTATAAGAACGATTCTGGAACCATCGGCGATCGAGCTTAACTCACTGAGTCGGCAGTGTTCGAGTCGATGTATATTTTGGGGTAATTCAGTTTGATCAAGTGGTGTTTCGCGGCGTATGTATATAGCGCGCTCACCGTTTAATTTAACGGAGAGAAGTTATTGTTTGCTTCATAATGAAGCGTTACTACGTAGGGTGAATTTTCAGGGAAAGTTTCAGAACACGGCGCCGTCGTGGTTTGAAGGGATCAAATCAAATGCAGCTGGTAGACGAAGTCACCGAGTGACCACTAAATTTGTAACTTTAGAAAAATATCAATGAAATGAATGTGAGATATAAGGAAAAGTAATATCTTACCTGAGTTAGCTTTGATAACAAATTGAATGATATGTTTAATTGTAATTAAAATTTAAATAGATAATTGAATTACATAATTATCTTAGCTTTTATATATTCAAAATGTCTTTTACCCTTTTTAAGAAATTTTTTTCTTAAATGTTATTGATGCGGCTCATATTCATTGGATGTACATGCATAAATTAATTAGTTGATCCAACTAATCTATAATGAAAGACCAAAGTCCATTTCCCACAACAATTGATGAACAAGTAAATTAAGGGGCAAAAGGAAATAATCAACCATGTATTACAAAAAAATATTATTATTGCTTCTTTTTTTTTTTTTTTTGGTTTACAAATAATGTTAACAGTTATATTACAAATATAAATTTGCAAATAGATCAGAGTCACGAAGTTGGTGTAATTGTGTCTGAATGGATAAGCTAATTGGTGCAATTAAAGCCACGGCAAATAGAAAGCCAAATTACGAACGCCAAGATGACCATAATTCCAATCACAACCAACTTCATTTTCATGTTCTGCCACCACATCTTGCGATGAATTTGATTCGTTATTCCTTTGTATGTTTGAGCCTGAAATGAGAAAAATGCAATACAGTCTTAAAATTTAAACAATGTTTTATTCCAATTAAAATTTTATATTTATATTAAAATTGTATTTGTATATATATAAGGTAAAATTCTCGTGTGGCCGTGCGGTTAGTACGCATAAATGCACTACAAAATGTTCAGAAATGTATAATTAGCCGTGAATGGTGTGCACTTTTTTTTTGTTGTGGTGTATTTCAGAGCACTATGTGATGCATTTTTACATACTTAATAGTGCATCTGCACCAGCCACACGGGAAGCACGGTTCAAATATAAACTAGTGTATATACATACATATATATATATATATATATATATATATACATTATGTTCAACAAATAAAACACAACTAACAGCAATCCTTGGATTGTTAAAAGCAGAGGCGATTAGCAAACCTACCGAATCATGTAGTTCATCCGCCTTGTCTGCCAGATTTGTTATATTCCTTTCTCTTTCAAGAGTCTGCAGGCATGTTAAACATACACGGTTCATTCGGAGTATATATTATATTATGTTATGGTCAAATTAATGAATAACTGAATTTGTAAAATACTTATTCAATCCAATGGAAATTATAATATTTTAATTTAATTTAAAACTTATAACTAAAAATGTTTAATTTTTAGTTTCACATCGTCAAATAGTTATTAAATTTATATATATTAAATATAATAAGAGTCAATATTAGCAATATTATTATGTTATAAGGGAAAAATAAAAATAAAAAAAGGTCAATTTATAATTATAAAAGTTTACAATATTTCAAAAATTAGCTCTGCCCATTTTTGTATTAATTTTCAGCAACTATATATCATCAATAGTTGATCTATTTAATTAGATAGATCGTATCAGTACTCCTCACTTTTTGTTTTATTTTTTCAAAAATTCTCAACCTTGATATATATACGTATACAGGTGGATCTCATATCAATAATGGATTTTTATATATAGATGCATTCTCATATTAACCGCTAACCAAAATATTTTAAATAATTCTTAACCATTAACCAAACTAAAATAAATTAACAGAAAATCATTAAGTTTTATCAATTAATTAACTGAATTTTCACCGCACCCAGGCCAACTAAGCATACCTTGATAATATTGTCATGCATAACAGTTTTAACTTGAGAAACTTGGGCTCTAAGTTTCTGCAGTTTCTCAATTTCGTCGGCATGAGTGATAATATACTGCATCTGCTCTTTCATAATCGGCCTGTATGTGCATATTAATTAATTTGTTACTTTATCATATCGATACTCAGACGCAAAATATATATATATGTGTGTTTATTGATCGAGTATATAAAATATAAATATGCAATTTTAGTCATAAAATTAAATTTAATATCAGAAATTGAAAAATTGAATAACATATATACCCAAACTCCTTATTCAGAGCAGCTGTATCTGCAGCTTTGCCCCCGCCGCCATATATTTTGTTGAAATCTGTCTTTACATTCTCCAGAAATGCAATGGAAAGTTGCGTCCCGACCGATTCATTCACGACGGCACAGTAAGCTGCACAAGTAATGAACAACATTGAATGACGATATCATATCAAAGCGTGAAAACATCGATCGAGCGAGAAATTGAAGCTAGAATTGAATGAATTACTGTAGCCATCTTCAATTAGGAAGGTGAAAGTATGGCGATGATAGTTGTAAGTGAATCTGTCGGCGGAGGAAGGGAGTTCCTGGAGGCGTTGCAGGGCAATCTGCCGGAAGTTTCCGGGCAACTCGGTGTGCGACTCAGCCAGCACCACCGTCCCCCGAGCTACGAAGCTGTATAAGAACGATTCTGGAACCATCGTTTACGGCGAGCGATCGAGCTTAACTCACTGAGTCGGCAGCCCCGGCCCGTTTGAGTTGATGTATATTGGCCGGGGTTGGATAAAACGGTGTTTTCTGGTGTACGTATATAGCTCGCTGTTTAATATAACGGAGAGAAGTCATGGTTTGCTTCATAATGAAGTTAAGTTACATGAATTTTCAAGGAAAATCTCAGAACACGGCGTCGCGTCGTCGTTGTTTGAAGCGATCAAAAATGTTTGATCAAGTTCAATTTTTATTTTTACTTTTCAAAATAATAATTTTAAATAACATATTAATATTTAATTGCATACTTTTCATTCATTTATACACATAAATTAAATTCATCATACAATTACTCATTTATAAAATTCCTTAATCCAAGTCCAAAAGCTAACACTGGTTTGATCTTTTATATATAATTGTTATGATTATTGCAAACTTTCAAGTTTGTAATATTTATAAAGTTAATTATACCATTTTTTTTATTACTTTCATCAACTCCCAACCATTAAAAAACCCTCAAGTACCGACTTTATGAATATAAGTAGTGATTTTAGTAATTTGCAATAATTACTCTATGAATATATAGTGGTGATTGTGAATTAGTGACTTTATAAATCTATATAGTAACTTTATGCACCTATAAATTCAAATAATTAAAAAGTATGTGTATCATTTCAAATATGAAATACCTCAACAAGAGATTTTTTTTTTTATACGGAATAATTAATTGTATACATTACTTTTATTTGTGCAGTAAATAAAATAAAATAAAATTTAAGTGAAAATTATAAGGAGACAAAAAGTATAAATGTGTTGGATTCATGATGCTATATGCACCATGATTTATGATATAATTATTGATTTTTGAGTTGCGAGTTATTAATATAATTTATTGCGATTAATCAATAAGATCAATGGCACCAACTCAACAAAAATCAACATCATTGAATACTGCTAGTCGAGATTATTAATACACGTTTGTCTTGAGAGTAGGGCATCTGATAAGATTTTATACTCACTATTCATTGCGTTATTTAGTACTGTATGACCTAATAATTGCATAAAGATTTCCCATCACTTGGGAGGGGTAGCCATAAGTTTACTATACTAATAACCCTATACTTTCAAGTCCTATCTTACTATAGGGTTTACTATTTTTTTTTTTTTTTAATTATCAAAAGAAACTTGCAATCATTATCCAAAATTATGTATTAAGTAAATTACACACCTATATAATACGGAATAACTATCGAACCACATAAAAGAGGTAAACACCTCACGTGTCCTAAGTTACTCTAAGTAATGTGTTGAGCTAATAAAACAAACATCAATATGAATGAACCACCAATTAAATGAAAGTGAAACAGAATGAAAATATGACATCTTGCATGTGTTAGTTGTGATACAAAATTAAATCATGTATAATATATCAATTAATAAAAGTCTAAGCTGATAGCTAATTACATAGTTTACATTGAACAATTATGTATTGTAGATTATATACTCAACTATTCATTATAGTAATTAATTAATTAAATTTTGTCTACAATGTGAATACACAATATAAATTTTGCCTTACGCATTAGTAATTATTTATTAAATTAATGTCCAAAAGAATATTGTTGAGAATCAAAGTAAATTATAATATTTAAATATGATAATCATACAACCAATGCATGTCGTGACTGCTACTACGGCCAAAGGAAGCCCGAGACCAATATCCATATCGAGGCTACAGACACACGACCGAGGAGGCTACGTATGGGGCAGTGCTACTCTCTCACGAAGGCTCCTTTGTAGCGGCAACGAGTGGAAAGCTACTCGGCACTTTCTCGTCCGTTATGACGGGCGCACTAGCTTGCAAAGAGGCTCTATCTTAGCTTAAAGAACAAGGTGTGTTAACAGTGGATCTTCTTACGGATTGCTCAGAGTTTCGGAATGCCTTATACACAGACTCTACGTATCTTGTCATATGTTGGGGTTATTGTAGACCAATGTAGGACATGTATATCATTGTTTACTCATTGCTTATTAGGTTATATTTCTAGAACACTTAAGTACTTAACTTACATGCTCATACTTTAACTTCGTTAGCGTTTGATCATGAACAACCTATGTATTGGAACTCTGTCCCTCGGACTCTATTGCTCAGTTCATTCATTAATACATCAATATTATTATTATTTTAAAACGAATATGACCACCATTTAACTACTTTGCGTGATATCAATTGACTACATGACTAAATTACTTGGGGGCTTTGTCCTAAAAAAACGAACAAACTATTACAAACGTTATTTTATTAAATTAAATGACGAAAACAGCGCACGTAGCCACGTAGGACAGATAGGTGTTTGCCGACATCACAAGATACTTTAAGCATTCAAATTAACTCAAATCTTCAAAATCAAAAACCTCAAAACCCTAAAAAGTCGCCCGCCCAATCACATCACTTACCAAAATTTTGAATTCCCTCTCTCTCTCTGTTCCTCATTCTCGGACTACACTATCAGCAAAGCTAGTTGCTTTGATTCAGCAAAATTCTCATCTATCGGTACCCAAATCTCAACTTTTAGTCGCCGCTAGCTTCCGGATTTCCGATGGCCAACACCGATTCCACCGCCTGCGACATTGCCCCAGTCCCGGCCCCCCTCTCGGAGGTATGCCTGCATTTCTGTCTTCATTGTGTGCAAATGAATGTGCGATGCTTTTGTCTGTACTCGAGATGTTGCTTTGGAACTGCTAATTTTGAAATTTGAACTTTGGTCTTACTTCGGTGTGAATCGAAATTGGATAAATTTGGGCACAATGTTGTTTTTGTTTGTTTTGTTTGGCAGAAGAAAGAGAACGTGACTCCAGTGAGCTCCAAGATTGCGGTAAGTTTCTCATACTCTGAGTGGTTAAGTTCAACTTGTGACTACTTGTCGTCGGGGATATTCCAGACCCGATTTGATGAGAAATCTGCACACTTTTTTTATTTTATTTTTTTATTTTTTTATTTTTTATTTTTTATTTTTATTATTGTGCTTTAGGAATTGAGCGAATCAAGGCAAGAACTACTCAATCGGATTCAGAATTTGAAACAGGTGGCCTTATATTTGTGTGTGTGTGTTATAAGCATGATGCAATTTACTTTCTGGACCTAACATATTTTAACATTAGGATCTGCAAAATTGGAGGTCAAAGTTGGACACTCAGGTGAAGGTCTACAGGGATGTAAGTATTTGTGTCTGTTCATTTCCTCCTTTCTTTTTGTGGTTGTATTATTATTATTATTTTTTTAATAAATAATATACTTTTGGTTGTTGTTGTGTTGTTTAGTTTACTTGTGACAGTATACTGGTTCAAAGATATAGAATGTAGTTAGGGAAATGCCTACAGTTTCTGGTAATGCTGTTGTGTTACATTAGGATTATGTTTTAATAAGGTTGATATGAAACTATGTTGTTAGTAATTAGCACTATAAGCACAAGAGTTATGGATTATTAAATTCCACTCATTCTTTTGTGGTGTTGTTGACTTGTATGAAATGGAATCATATGATTGCTACTTGCTGGCTGCTACTCCATTCTCTTTTTTCTTACAGGCAACCCCATGGCTTTCTGAGATTTTTCATTCGATTGTATATGTTGCTTACAGATTTCTTTTCTTGAATTTCACAGGAACTTTCGGAACTAAAAAAATCACTCAATGTAGAGGTGGACCAACTTCGAACAGTAAGGACTGACCTATGGTCAAGACGCTTTACTGCTTCCAATCTTTAAAAATGTTGTTTGTGTACTTATTTCATTTCTTTAACTAGGATTTTCAACAGTTGAAAAGTACCCTTCAGCAGCAGCAAGAAGATGTCACTGCCAGCCTAAGAAACCTGGGGGTAATGTATCTTGTGACTTGGTAGTTTGTACCTGAGGTCATAATTGGACTAAAAGCATAAGCTCATAGTTGGACTGCACATTATGTTTATATAATATATGTGCAACTATGGTCTCTAGGTTTGCTTTTACCCATTTTTCGCCCTCAATATCGATAAAAAATTTGAACTGTGTTCTCGTGGAAATCATGCAGCTTCAGGATGTTACTGAAGTCAAAGAAGCTGAAGGTGCAAAAAGCGAGAACAGTGAAGAGAAAGCTAAGGATCTGACAGAGGAGAATGGTAAAGAAACTGCAAACTAGATGGTGTTATGTTTTTCTTTTTATCCTTGTGTTGTAGAAGCAGAGCTCATATTCCCATAGAGTTGCTCACCGCTTAAGTGAGCTGTGTTCGGTTGTTGAAATCTTCTCCTAGCCTGTTGACCTGTTGTAGAGATCATTATCTCATGCTCCCAAAAACTGAAGTATTCTAATGAACTCCTAATAAGTCAGTATTACTATGTATTAAATGGATAGTATTCCCTTAAAACTTTTTGTTTTGTTTTTTGTTTTTAAAATTATCTTCTGCATAACAAATAGATTCCATAGAAATACTAGCAGGAGTGAGTATTGATTTTCAAGTTTTATGGAAACTTCCGGGAAGGACGAAAAAGAACTTACTTTTGGAATAATGTTGTGTTAGTGCAGTCTAATATAGTTTGTCACAAAGCTTCTCATGGCATCATTAAAGAATTTAGTGCATATTTTTGGCTGCTTAAATTCATATGTGCTCTTCATTGTTGATTTGCCAATCTAACCTCTAAAGAAAGGTGATATTTGCTCTTTGGAATAAAGAGGATGCATAATCCACCATTCCTTGATGTAGAATATTTGCCTTATAGGTTGATTAACTTAATAATTTGGTGTTATTGGTTGCTCATCTAGGAATAAGTAGTTAAGATACTAGGAGGGTAATGAAATACAAAGGAAATGGTTTGTAGTTCTATTTAAGATTAGGTAGTGCTAATTAAACTTGGAACGTTGTGATTACTAAGCCAACTGTTTGACCAAACAAGGGGCTGGGTTGTTTCCAAAGCCTCACTTTGGTATTATATATAACATGGTTATATGTAAGTTATTTTGCCTATAGCATTTGGTATTCCACCAAAAATAGGCCTTATTGCCATTGTTGCTTTGTATAGAACTGATTAATTCCTCCTTTTTCTCCCTTTTGTTCTTCAGGAATTTTATACATAATAGATCTTGAATGTCTTATGAAATAAATCTAAACTTCTCATAAACAGTGCATAGCTTCCTAAGGTACAAAGCTTTCCTAAATATAATTTATAAACAATAAAAATATAATAATAATAACATTTAAGTTTATAAAAAAAAATTGGATTGCATATTACCAAATTGCTAAGGGTGTGTTTGGAAATCCAGAAAATGATTTTCAGAAATCATTTTCTGGATTTTTGGTGTTTGGCTAGGTTGGAAAATGAGAAGTCAAAGGAAAATGAGGCCTGGTCAATGGAAAGTGAGCTCAACTTTATAGAAAATGACTTCCTTTTTTTTTTTTTTTTTTTTTTTTTTATTTTGGGAGGGGGGGGGGGGGGGGGGGGGGGGTGGTGGAAGTCATTTTCCGGAAGATTAAAGTGGCCTACAACAACAACTACTATCTTCTTTAGTTTCTGGCCAGATACCAGAGCAGTGCTCCCTGGTTTTTGGCCAGACACTAGACTCTGGTTTCTGGCTGGAAACCAAAGAGCTTTTCTTTTCTTTCCGGCCGCGGAAACCAGAGAGCTTCTCTCTGGCTTCCGGTCGGGAACTAGAGAGTAAGTACTGCTATTTGGTTTCCGGCTGTTGGAAACCCTCTCTGGTTTCTGTCATTTTTCTTTGTTTTTTTTGTTTTAATTTTTTTAATAAATAATATTATTTGATTTTAAAAATAAATATTATTATTTATAATATTATTGTAAATTTTCTATATTTTAAACAAAATAATTAATTATATAAAATGTTTAATTATACAATTCTACATTATTTTCAGAAAATGAGCCAAATACACAAAGACAGTTTTCTGTTGTGCAGCCAAATACGAGAAAAGAAAATATTTTTTGTAAAATGATTCATTTTTCAGAAGTCATTTTCTTGCTTTTCAAACGGACCCTAAGTGAGTCCTGACTATGACATTTACCAGACTTGCAAGTTGCAACCATGTAATTTTACAAGCCTAACATATATATAGATTCACCATTAAGTACGCAAAAATGCATCAAACAATTTGAAAATGCACCACCGCACACCAAAAAAATACATCACATCTCACCATACCTAATGGTGCATTTTCGAACACTGTGGTGCATTTATATGTATCTAATGGTGAGTGATTACACTATCGCACGGAAAGTACTGCCCACACCAAAACTTGACCCCATATATATAAAAATCTTGGGTGAGAACTCGTAAGACAAATGAAATATTTTTTGTTAGATCACGAAGTGTCCTTAGCAAACCCTAATTGTAAAAGATAATTTTAAACTCGTACTAACTAATCTCCATTGATCATATTGATTTTTTCATATGAGAAGAAATTCAAACTCCCGACCTCTCTTAAGGGACACGGTCACTAACACTATGGGTACGGATAGGCATTGGGCGTAGGCATGGTTTGTTTTAATTATGCCAAGCTTTATCAACTTTTTTAAAAGCATAAATCTTTTGCGCACAATATACGTACACTATAGTGGCGAATATTAAGACGTCATCATTTTGTAACAACCCTATAGTATACTCCATACTTGACATACACTATACTGCCGAGCTGAGTTGTGGAGTCTCATCGATCGATCTCACAATTAAATTCGATCATATTCCCTCATCCCATCCCTTCCTCTCTCCTTCATGGCCGCCTCTGAACCACCGCCTGATGAACAACCGCCGCCACAGTTACCACCACCACTCCCTTACAAGGTATATATATATATATATATATATATATATATATATATATATATATATATATATATATATATATATAACTCCTCTTTCTCCTCCTCAGCTCCTAGCTTTCTTCTTGTTTAAATTTATAGTCATTTTACAAACTTTGTTTTCAGACATGGGTTTTGAAGGTCTCAATCCACTGTCAAGCTTGCAAAAGAAAAGTCAAGAAAGTCTTACAAAGCATCGAAGGTTAAGTTCTCTTCATTTTTCCTTAATCTTTAAAGATGGATCAATATAATATATATAACTCAATTTAATTTTGTGGTTTCTTTTTGAATAGGGGTTTATATAACAGATATTGATGAAAAACAGCATAAAGTGACGGTTACTGGGAACGTTGAAGCAGATGCTTTGATCAAGAAGCTGATTAGGTCCGGGAAGAATGCAGAGATGTGGCACGACAAGTCTTCTTTCAAGGAAAAGAAATTATCCGGGAACCCTAATCAGAGACCGGAGGGAGCCAAAAGCGACGAAAACAGCGACGAAGACGACGATAATGAAGAAGAAGAAGATGACGGCAAGGCAGGTAGTGAGAATGTCGACGCTCAGAAACAGAAGAGCGGCGGCGGGCCGTCTGTTAGATTCGATCTCCCGCCGCCGGGGAATGCCGCCCCCGCCGGAGCTGCACCTAAGAAGAAGAAAAAGAAGAAGAAGAAGAAGAAGAGTAGCAGTGCTGCGGCTTCGGCGGCTTCTAATAATGCGCCGCCGCAGAACGCCGGGCCTGAAACGTCCAGAATGGCGCCCCCTCCTCTTCATGGTGTTGATCCAGGGAGTCTCGGCCATTCATATCCGCCGAGTTATGCCCCTCAGCAGGGTTACGTAGTGAGTTACAATGCGGCGCCGGTCCCCGGCGGCGGAGGCGGCGGTGCTCCGACTTACTACTACGCGCCATCCTCGCCCTATACGTATGCTTACACCCGAGCAGAGGTCCACTCCATGCGATGCAGGCCGTTGGATTCCTTTGAGATTTTGAGCGATGAGAACCCCAATGCCTGCTATATTATGTGATCATCTAATTATCAGTTAAGTTAAGATGGTATCACCAGGCATGCAAAGTACATTTTAGATTTTGTATTTTGATCACTACCATAGTACTGTATAACTGGTTTGTTACGTTATTAATTAGAGACAATAGTAGCTTTTTTTTTTTTTTTTTTTTGCCAATTAGTTTTTATCATATTTACTCGGTATTATTTAATGGTTAAATCAATAAGTGATTTTAAGATAGTCCTGAAAAAAATTACTATCTTAACTGAGGTTGGTAGAGGCGGGTCCAAACAGTGTTGTGTGAACTATAACAAAAAACACATTTTTAATATACTAAAAATACATTGTTCGTGTATTGAATGTACATTATATTATACAAAATAATGTATTTTTCCCGAATATAATGTATATTTTTAATATACTAAACATACATTATTTGTGTACTGAATGTCTGAATGTACATTATTTGATAGTATGATCCACACAATTGTGTGTACAATAATGATATAGCACAAGAAAGCCAATAATGCTAGCTTTAATTGGATACCACTCATCATGATGACATACATTTTGGCCTTCACATTTTCAATTCCTCAACTATGGAGCCGGACATATTGCGATGGTATGTTTTTTAATCTAATAATAATGTAAATTAAAGTTGTAGTTCTATAGGAGGGTTTAGAATAAACCATTGATCCTTTTAAATGTATGAAAGTTCTTAACTTCTTCCTTGTAGTATTATATTCAAGATTGATGCAGTGAGACGGATAAACAGTACAAAATTGATGAAGTTGAAATCATGTTTCTGTCACAAATTAAAGTTCTTCCTTAATCCATATAATATTCATAGTGTGAGTAGCATTTTTTTTTTTGGACGAGTGAAACTCGAAGTTACTATCAGAGAATATATACTTGGTAAATCCTGCTATTATGTAATTGTCCGTTTTCAAATTACACATAAGAGATAAATCGTACTAAAAAAACTCTATGTGAATATAGTATTTTAATTAGTTGTAGATTATGCATTCATTTTTTCACCATTTATAAGTAATATTATTATTTTACATTTAAAATTATATATATATAAAAAAAAATCTTCCAACAAGTTGATAATCATTTTTTTTTTTTTGGCTCTCAATCAAATAATACGGAGTAATAAAAAAGTTATTCACAAAATATGCATATTAACTTTTTGACCAAATCCCGCCAGGATAATCAAAGTAGTCGACCAACACTTAGAAGAGTCATTAAAGGACCTTGACCAATTTGCGAGTCTTGTTTGTAAAAATATAGAAACAACATGAAATGTGGAATCATTTGGACCACTTGATATTTACTTCTTGGGTTCATGGCAATCATTATACAATGAACCATGACCCACCTTACAAGATGAGTTACCGACATAAAGTTCATTATTAGTATAATAAATGTTCAATTTTAATGTATTGAATGTTTATTTTGTGAAAGGTCTTGTGTGTGTACTAAAAGTTCATTTTTAAGTATATTACCAAAATATGAACTTTCATACATTAGAAATAAATATTCAATGTGGACCATAGTCTATACTATAATTTGTTGGTTTCATGGAGTCTAAATATAATTGTTAATAATTGAGAAACTTGTTAAGAGCCAATCTCTAGAAAATTATAGAAGTTTTAAACTGACAACAATGTGGTATGTAGTTGGGAGGCTAAGGTAAGGTGGGGTGGGTGGGGGGTGGGGGGGGGGGGGGTTGAGGGAGGAGTTGTAGACTTGTAGCTAGGGAATATATCTTACAACATAGATTCCACTCAATAGTTGCAATGGTGGGAGGGGAATATGCTCTTTTAGTAATCTTAGCTTCTTTCCTTATGCTATCTGCAATTTTTGAAGATCAACAAGAACATCCTTTTGATGGATTGAAACATCAGCCCAATCTTTCAATGAACAATACCCATAAAAGAAAACAGTCCCACCCCACAAATCTTCATCACCACCACCACCCCTTAATGCTATCTTTCAAGATATACCCGCTTTATTTATACCTTTCCAAATTCATAACGTATTATATGTTTTCTTCTAGAAAAATGTTTTTTTCTTCTTCATATTATATGTTTTCTTGAAGAAAAGTAGAGAGTTTTTTTTCAATTGGTAAACATATTCAACCCTATCATCGACAAGCACCGACGACTAGAACAAGTTAAAATTTGCTTTGATCTTAGCATTTTAGAGCATCTCCAATAGTTGTAATTTTTCAGCAAAACAAAATCTGAAAAATAATTTTTTTTTTTTTTTTAAAAGAGAAAAGTGTCAGGATAACGCGCCCAACGGGCACGTGGACCAGATGGGTGCACATAACGCGCACTAGGGAGAGTTTTGCCGATTGCAGTGGGGCCCACATATCTCACGAAAATCAAAGTCTCTATATAAATATCCAATTTATTCTCTTTCATCCACCTCAAATTCCCACCTGCAAAAACCAAGCAAAATCCCCCTATTGGCGATGCTCTTAGAGCCAAGGGTTTCAAACCTTGAGTCATACTTCAACCTTTTTTACACTTGAAAAAACACAAACTTTGCTTGCAACAAACAGTATTTAGTCATAGCATTTTGCAAGTTTCAACCATCTTTCAACACAAAAATACCATTAGGGAAGAAGAGCTGGGTACTACTTTTGTATATATTTGCCTAGAATTACTACTGTCTTTTACAAGAGGGATCTGTTCAAGTATATATAACCAATTGTATCAGAGGGTCAAAACCATCTTTAATTTAGTTCTGAAAATGGTTGATTCTCTGCAGAAGATAATATCTTGTTAATGTTTTACTCTAATCTGAGCTAGCCAAAAGGAAGCAAATCTCTGTGGTCTCTGGATTTTTATGACCTCACAAATAAGAATAATTATCCTGCAAAAAGAAACTTCTAGACCCTTTTCCACCATTGACATGCAGAAATGAAATATATAAATGATAAATAATCCAAGGGTCAATACTGTAAGCTTATAATACTAATGCTTATGCAGTTATGCCAATCATTCATAACCTTACCTTTAATCCAAAGCCAATTGATTTCCTGCTGGCATCAAATGAATCATATCATTAATCATTGTCACAAGGGGCCAAATGGGGCATAAACAAACCTTTTCTAAGTGACGTGGGAAACCCGCAACCAATATTCGAGGGTATGTATTGGGTAAATATCGTCTTGTGACCCTTGCTGGTAAAGAACCACAAGAAGGTAAACTAGTCCAGGTTGCTCATAATTGACCGGCTCAAACCAAGAAGGTCATTAGGCCAGTCCCGTTGGGAGTCAAAGTTATAACCTTGTGATTACCAAGTTAATAGCCTGACATAAACAAACCTTTTCAAATCTCAGTTTAGTAAGCAATAGCATAAATTCAAAGTTGACCTAATCTTGTGATAGAAAGCATTTTACTTTTCAAATATTGAAAGGGCAAGAGGCTAAGGGGAGGGGGCATCAACTAGGGGAATCATGTCAAAACAAAAGGAAACAACATGATAAGCCATCTTGAACCAGTGGTTATAAAGAGATGAGATTCTTAACCTAACAAATAGAATAAAGCAAGCATTTCTTTGGCACAATCTATCTCACGAAAGTGACTGAACTTCTTTTTCCACGTCGTCCCCTTCTTTATCATCACTAAAGGTCCTTCCTGCGATTTAGTTCACTTTCTTTATCAAGCCATTTTACAAGTTTCATCAGTTCTGTCCCTATAGGCAATGGCTTGTGGGTGGTGTAGAGAATATGAAACAGAAAAAAGAAAAGCAATCAAATTAGCATATCAAGGGAAAAGGCAAATGATTTTCATTGCATTACCAAGAATGGGGAAGCAAGCTACTTACAGATCAAAATCCTTGAACACGAATAAAAGATTGTGAATATATGTACAGATTTCAGAACAATGACAAACTATATTCTAACTAGAAAAATATTAGAAAAATCTAGCTTTTACTTGGTCTTTTGGCTTTTGCACTCAAAGGCACGTTGATGCTTTGGAGGTGCGTTGATTCATCCCGAGGATGATTACAATTACTGTCACATCGTCGTGATATTTCCTCCTCCTGCCAGCAGGGATGCTCATCAGCTCTTCCATGCTGAAACCTGCTACAAATTTACGAAAATTAACACAGATCACTTGGTGTTTCATTATCTAAAATGGATGCTGGAAGATAAGATAAAATATAGATGTTACAAATCATATAACTTAGAGCCAAGCGAAGAAAAAGAGATTAAAATATCTTGCCTGCACAATCTGCTGCTCTCATTACAAGCTGCTCCACAAGGAACTTTGCCGGATCACCAGAAGCATTATTTAGTATGTAAGAACGAACAAGTTTGACAACCTCATCATTGGTGAAGAAGTCAAATAAACCATCACTCCCGAGTATAACAAAGTGGTCAGTGCTTGAAATTTCATGTACAGTTAGAGATGGCTGTACAGAAACATATGGAGGACTAATCAAATTACGGACTTTAAGAATGCCCATCAATGCATCATTCATGATTTTCTGCAAAGACAATGGAATGGTTATACAACAAAAGAACTACAATCAATAAACAAATTTAGAAATAAATAAAAAGTGTTAGTAAATACATAAATACATATGTATATGAGTACCCTTTTCAAGTAACCAACTCCAAGAGCTCGAGTAACTTTTAGCTTTCCCTTAACTTTTCCGCCCACGATTGGTGATGGATCATCGGGATGACCATTTAAGAGTAGGGTTTTTTCATACTCATTATCAACTGTATGACTAACTGTGAGCTGGACAGCTTGTAGTCCATTGCTATCATAAGTACGAACGCCTTCATTATATGTTGCCAATACTGCTCGACTGTCGCCTAGATTGAGCACATACATATCCTTTCCATGAAGAAGCACAAGTAAGACACAACATCCTACAGATACTAAGTCAGGTCGGTCCTCCATTTCCTGTTCGACCACATATAGGAAATCATTCTCTGCTTGATTAAGAGCCCGATGAAGGCTATTCAGTACCTTATGCTTAAAAGAGCGGCATGGTTTTTCCAATTCCATGGAAGAAAGCCCACTACCAAAAGAATGACCAATTGGTTTCTTATTAAGATCTCGGAGGGTTTCATCTAAATCTAGACACTCAGAACCTGCAATGGATTCCTGCTCAAGTTCCCAGTCTAACAGGTTCAGGTAGTACCTCACTGTTTCATACAATGTTCCAGCCAGAAAATCAGCTGCATCTCGGCCATTAAAACCATCATATATGCCACAGAAAAGCCACCCGTTCTCTTCCGAACAAACCGCCTGAACTCTGTCTTCACCAGCAGCACCACCCGCAACTTGTATTTCTGTCGCGCTCAGGAAACTTTCATTTCTAGAGGCAGCACTTAAGGACTTCAAAGTGAAGGAATCATACTCGGGCGCATCACTAGGAGACGATGGACCAAAACTGAAGTTCGAAAAACTACTTGGCAGTGATGACGACAACAAATTTGAGAAAGAGGTTGAAGAGGGTATGCGTCGGAAAGACTTGGGGGAGTCCAATGCTGGCAGGATCTCTGCCCCCATCAACCCATTGCAAATATTCGTGTTCACTAATGTGGCATTGGCACTTAAAGCAGCTCCAGACAGGCAAGAGAACGAACTATTGGCTCTTCGCAGCTTAATTCCACCGGAGATGTCAATACCGTCAGATTCATCACAAGAATTATTCTCGCTATAGTTGCATTGATACCCAAAATTTATTTTTAATTCCTGTCCAGGGTCATTTACTGTTTGTCCATGCATCATTTGAACCTAAAAAAACAAAAATACTTAAAATTACCTTCTTGCTTGTACAACTCTCAAGCCCTGGCTAGACTTAAAGTGTCAAAAACAATACATGCCAAAGAAAACAAGATCCAATACTACTTGAGAAGAACCTTAAATGCCAAATGAAATAAGGTTCAAGGCTACCCCAGTAGCTAAAAGCAGACATAATCACAATTACTAATTCAACCAATACAGAGTACCTTCTCTCCTCTCCCAATTGGCTAATCAAGGTGCCAAAAAGGTCACTTCTAAATAAAAACAGAAAAAAAAAGGGAAGCATTGAAGAATTATTAATATCAAAGCTTATGTCAAAAGTGATTAGCACAACATATAATACTAAACATCCAGAAATCTGGAAAATCAGGACAAATATTCGTGCATTTACCAGAAATCCAAAATCGCAATCAAGATTCATGAACTACCAATCAAATTAAACTAACAATCTTAAAATAGGGATTGTTCTATTGGGAGACAATAAGAATACCAAAGAATGAAATAAGCTGAGAAAAAGGGAACCCAAAGATTGAAAGCAGAACTAACCTAAACCTTAAGGTGGTTGATGAATGATCAGCAAGGGCAAGGCAGAGCCAGATCAGGAAATGCGCGAAAAGATGCAAAATTTACGGAGTTGGATGTGCAGAGAAAGGAGTGAAGGTAGTATGGAAATCAGAGAAACAGCGCAGTAGAAAGGGGTGGCGATGATTAAGGGTGGAGATTTATAATACGGAAGTAAAAAACAGTGATGGGATTGAATGGCGAGGAAAGAGATTAAGTGAATAATATGAAAATGGGAAGCGTGGCAGTGGAGGGGACTGGGGTCTCCAGACGAATTTTCTACGGTTGACGTTAATGGTGGAAATGAAATGGAAAAGTCAAAAATCAAAATCCTCTATTCGTCCCAAGATCAACAATCGCCCGTTATTTTGTTCCAAATAATTGATTGCCTTATTTGTACTTTATTCATTTTAAATAAATAATAATACTCCGTATCATTTATCCTTTCAAATTAAAATCATTTTAGCATTTACTCTTCTTCTATTTTTATTTATTTATTCTCGTTCCGCGACTCCTTCACCACCAAGCATCTTCCTGCATCTTCATTCAAATTAACCACCAAGCATCCTCCTGCATCTTCATTCAAACAATTGGGACCACTTGGATGGTTATAAAATGAGCCTCATGGATTATTTATACTTATTCCACCCTCCCTACTTGATAAATCTCTACACTTCTAATATATATATATATATATATATATATATATATATATATATATATATATTTCAATCGTGCACATTCTTCTCTTCGAAGTTGTATTAAGAAGTCGTTTGGAGTATGGAAGAAGATATGAAAGATACTTGCTAAAAAGTCATTGTTTAATGTGGAGACTCAAATTGAAGATATGGAAAATACTTGCTAAAAAGTCACTGTTTAATGTGGAGATCCAAATCGATGTTATTATGGTCACATTTTACTATATAATTATATTCGAAAGAATTCGCAAGATGGCATGATGTTTAATGTGCTTCAGCAGCATCCACATTACATGCGTACGCCCAAATATTGCTACTTCATTATTAAGTGAGACCTCGATCTATTGAGATGAAGGAGATTCGCTACAATATTGCTACTTCATTATTGGATGCTAGATTATGATAATTCTAATAATTTAATTTCAAAATGTTAAATTTTAATATGTAACAAAATTATTTAAATTTAAAACTATTTAAATTTTATGAAGATGTCTTTTTTAGTCTTTTTACGTTTATCAGCTTAACAAAAATTTAATTTTACCAAACACTTTTAATCAGCTAGCTTAAGAGCTCTTCACTTTTCAACTTCTAACTTATAACTTTTCAATTTTCATATGCTTTTCAACTTTCAGCTAGATTTGTCAAACATAGCCCTGGCATATACACTCACCAGTACATAGCCCTCACATATACACTCACCTGTGACCAGACGGCTCAAGTTTCAACTCTTCCCCCCCCCCCCCCCCCCCCCCCTTTTTTTTTTTAATACTCTTTTCCCTTTTTTTTTTTTTTTTTTTTTTTTTTTTTGGTGGTGGTGGGTGATTGTGAGATTGGTGTTCCACCACTGACCGGGACTACTCAATACTCACTACCTATCAAATTCCAACTAATATCCTAAGCTCTTATTCATGAGAAAGTCAAAACTCGTAAAAAAGCGACACAATAATTATTTAATGCGACATCCTTTGTATAACTTCCGACCTTAACTTGCAAGCAAGAATATTACTATGTATCTCTTATATTGAAAACGTTTTAGTTCGTAATGTTATCAGATCAACGAATTATGTAGTTCATGCATGTCTTAGTATGAGACTCAATTCTCAATTAGCGGGACTAGAATTCAACCTCACCCGACTCTATTTATGAAAGAGTTAATTTCACTTTTGATACTATGGCTATTGGAGTGTTGTTAATTGCAGTCCACGAGTTTTAAAACTATCAATTTAATACCGAAATTATACAAATTTTCTCAATTTCATCCACTCTGACCAAATTGAGGGCGAAAAGTTACCAGAAAATTTTAATAGGTGAAATAATGAGGGCAATTTAATTGATAAAATTCATTAAATTCATTATCATTAACAAGTATTTAATTTTTATTCTGATTCCAATTTCGATGTGCGAATCAAACACACCCTAAACCAGTATTGATACATGCGATGCTATGGTTTGTGTGTATATGTATATACATATGCCTGAAACTTGATCAAATTGAAATTGATCATACTTTACATAAATGTCAATTTAAAATGAATTTTATGGTCATACCTATAGGCGATTTTAAATAATACTCCGTATAAAATATGATGATTTATGATGATGGATGACTTATAATCTATTTACACCTTAAAAAAAAACTTATATTGATTGTTACAAATAAATATAATAAGTAGAAACACCAAGTTTATCAAGCCCATGTTTCAATAGCTTAATAATCAAGTTTTTTATTATTTATTTATTTATTGGGGTTCAATATGATGTAACATTTAAATAATTTATTTATAATTATTTTAAATAACAATTTGACAAATACAAATACTAAAAGTATGTTACTATACTTTTTTTTTTTTTTTTGGAACATGTCAATAAAACAATAATTAAATTTGTGATTTTATATCTAACATATAAGTGTTGATCAACAATTGTAATGATGTAATAGTTTTAATCGTTGTAATAATTAAATTTGTGATTTTATATCTAACATATAAGTGTTGTTCAACAATTGTAATGATGTAATATTTTTAATCGTTGTAATAATTAAATTTGTGATTTTATATCTAACATATAAATGTTGATCAACAACTGTAATGATGTAATAGTTTTAATCGTTGTAATTTATTAAAAAAACAATCCTCAAAGTTTGAAGACTTTGTCGTGATATTAATCCTACTAATTGGCTTTGTTTATGCTCTAAAAAAATAGGGATATTAGTTGAGATGCTTTCCTTTATCATGCTAATATTAATGAACTTAAAATTAGAATATAAAAAGAAAAAAAAGCTAAAATAGTGATGAACCTAAGATTGGAGAAACAAAAATTATAAAGTTATGAGAGTGATAAATTGTTTGATTTTTAGTGTACAATTATTATTAAAGTATACAAAGTTGATATTAAATATATGTCAAAATTTTACTGATTTCAAGAGTTAATATAAAGAAAATCAATTTGATCGATATTTTAACATTATAGATAATTAATTAATGGAATGATCGCCAATCACATTGTGCTCAGATGACATGTAGTGACATCTTCTATGTGGGAAGTCATGCGATCGAACTTCAGACTCTTTGTGCTTTATTTGGTTGAGAAAGTACATTTGAACAAATATTATAATGTAATAGAGTCAATAATATTAAAAAAAAAATAAATTAATGGAATGATCATACCTACCTTAAAATTTAATTTCTAAGTTGACTATTTGCTTAGGGGTTAAAAAGTATAATTTTTCTAAAACTTATGCATGATAATTGATAAATATATATGCTTTTAAATATGGGATACAAGTTAATATTTAAATATAAATAAATATCTCTTCCCTTATTCTGTTAATCTGTTTTTGTTTTTCTTTTTTGGAACATATTTCTCAAATCTAGACTTATGCTGACAAAGTTGGAGAAACACAAGATATGGTGGTACCCAACTAGGATGCTAATGATATTTGGAGTCCCAAGAAAAAGTTTTTACACTTCATGGGGGACCAGACCAATTTTGATTATTTATTTATTTATTTTTAAGAAACACCAATTTTGATAGATTTCGTGACTGAAATTGATAATTGTAGTAAAATTTCTATCACGTATCTAAATTTTATTGATAGGATGCTAAATTTTTGGCTGTAACTAATTATGATGCTAACTTTTTGGCGTGGAGTTATTTTTCTAAAATTTGTTGTCAATCAATTAGAGTATATCATGTCAATATAGAATTAAAAAAAAAAGGTGTAAAATGTATAATTGTAAGAGTTAAATAGTTAATACTTAAAAGAGTAAATACCCAAAATGGTCCCTCGACTATAGCTAAATTTACAAATTGGTCATCGACTTTCAATTTCAACCAATTAAGTCCTTAACTTTGTAATTTTAACACAATTTGATCTCGGTCTATTTGACCGTTTGTTGACTGTGATTTTTGAGGATATATATATATATATATATATATATATATATATATATGTAATTTCATGGTCCATCATCGGTTTTTTAAGGTTCCGGTTGCATTTTCAGACCGCACTGTTACATTCGAATCCACTGCCGAAAGCAATCTACCAAATCCGGTCGTCTTTCTTCATCCTCCCTTTGGATTCAATGTAGTTGAGTTCGTGCCAGAGCGAAGAAGACGACGTGTTTCCGAACCGGTGTAATGTCATCCTGGAGGCCTCCACGTGCTCCGACGAGAGCTGAAGGTTCTTCTGGAGATCGTCGATCACGGTCAACAAACGGTCAACTAGTTGGAGGACCAAATCGTGTCAAAATTACAAAGTTAAGGACTTAATTGGTTGAAATTGAAAGTTGAGGACCAATTTGTGAATTTAGCTATAGTCGAGGGACCATTTTGGGTATTTACTCTACTTAAAATGTCCTCGACTATAGTAGTTTTTATCAATTTTGTCTTAAATGATTTTAGTGACTTAATGTAATCCCCGATTTTTGTATTTTTGTTTAATTTAGTCTTCCGTTTGTTATTCCGTCAAATTGGTGTTAAATAAATGAACAATTCAATAATCTCAATATAAGTCTCTCTTTACTCCTAGCCCTGCAAAGTGCGAAATCCCTATTTCTTTTACGAATTATTCCCGAACCAGCGAATCAAATTTTATATTCGGGTTTTGGAGTAATTTTGGGAGTTATTCGTAAAAGAAAAATGGATTTCAGACTTCGCATGTCTAAGAGTAAAGAGATGTTAATATTGAAATTACCGAATTGTCCCTCTAATTAACACCAAATGGACAGAATAATAAACGGATGACTAAATTGAGCAAAAACACAAAAGTCTGAAACTACATTAGGTCACCAAAATTATTAAAGATAAAATTGAGAAAAACCATTATAGTCGATATACTAATATTACACTTTCCTAATGTCCATGACCCGTGGTGACCATAACTAGATTTCTCTATAAAATTCACTCTCCAATATTCAATAACATGTCATTATTATGTTAAATTTATTTTTATATTTAATTATTACATAAACATTTTATTAATTCACATATATATAATAAATGAGGATTATGTTTTTTAAAAGACACTTATAAATAGGTCTTGTCCTTTGGGCATCAACCTTGTGTTAGGTGCTTGACCAATTTACAGCTTGAAATATTATGTTTCCTTTGGTATGTACTTGACATATCTAATATCTAAAATATAAATATAAAGTTGCATTTAATATATATGTAAAACTTTATAATATATTTTTTATTTTCTTTTACTTGAATGTATATTAGTAAATATGAAAAAAAAAAATTTATATGACATAAAAGTTTTTTATTTGATTTTTTATGTGTCAACCAAGTAAACTCTAAAATATTTATTAAAATGGAGGGTATTAAATTTTAAGATCTCTTGTAATGGTTGATAAAGTATTCATGGAGTGTAGTGAATCATAAATGTTGGAGTTTAGGCCCCAGAGGTCCAACGGACCAACATCACTCACCATAAGTAATATAATGTAAAGAAAATGGATATAACACTATTTTAATATGAAATTTTATAATACGTTAGGTTAAATTAAATGAAAACTATGAATCTTTTGGTTAAAGTAAGTCAAAGGTTCTAATTAATATTTATTCATAGAGTTTCATTGCTCTGTTTTTTCTTTCTTACCCCTATTTAGTTAGTAGGTCATTGGTCATAGTTGAAATTCGTCGAAGAGAAAAAAAAGAAAAAGAGAGAAGACAAATAAAATCAGAGGGAAAGTGAGAAGTTCTACTTAGAGCATTCACAATAGCTAGTTTTTGGTAAATTTTGGAAGATTTTTTGTCATGTGGAAGAGAAAAGACCAATATCTCTCTACAAGACATTAGTTTTTTTGTGGGACTCGCAAGAGAGAGAAACACCAAAGGCAGGCGCAATGACACGCATTTGCGGCATAGGCAGCGCCTAGCCGGCTGGCTGGCGCGTTGTTTGTTTGTTTGTTTTTTTTTTTTTTTTTTTTTTTTTTTTTTTTTTTTTTTTTGCGTGTCAAATTTGCTTCCCCCTCTCATTTTCCTTCTTCTCTTTTCCGCATCTCTCTCCTAGTTGGCACCTCAAAAATTTCAAAAAAAAAAAAACCATCACTATTTAGCATGCCCTTAATGTTGTCTCGACAAAAAAATATAATTTGAAGATGATTTTATTAAGTTGAACTCTATAAACAAAATCTATTGTCTTGAATAAGTCGTGATAATAATTAGGGCTTATTTGGTTGGGGGTATTATCCCAAACAATAAAGAACACTTGAGAGACAACAAAATGCATATATGAAACCACAAAGGTGAAGCACTTGATGATGAACCCTTGTCCAAGCAATGCTTTTCTTCATGCATATATGTTTTTTTTCTGCAGAATAAAATCAAGAAAATTCTTGCATTGCCATTTAAGCAAAGTATGCTGTCCCAAAACTTTAACCAATTCCACACAACAAAATGGTCTCTTTAAATCCACTCCCATTCCAAACTATCTGCACTGCCCTCTCCCCTCTCTCATCAAACCATGGCTGATTCTACATTCTCCAACAGAGAAAAAAACAAGCAATTTGATCAAGAAATCAGAGAGATGATCTCTGCCCTCACGGGCCGCCTTACCACTCTGCAACATAATGCTCAGAAGGTAGGGGACTCGAGCCAGAACAAGGATCGGGACGAGGATGACATCCATGGCACGAGGATCGTCACTCTAGCCGGGAACAACATGGGAGCCAGCATGCGAGGCGAGATGGATGAGAAAGCAGGCCTCGAGGGAGACAGCGAGGCGCTGAAAACATACGTTAACAGCAATTTCCAAGCTGTCAACAACTCCATCATGCTCGGGGGAAGCTATTCCACCAACGATCCCGGGGTGCACATGGAAGTCGTGGACAATATCGAGCCCCAATCGCAGCCCGGGAAGAGGAAGAAGAAGGGCAAGAAGAAAGAGAAGGACAGCTCCACAAGTGACCACAAGAATGACTATTCAGACTAATCTGATCTCATACAAACTACTACAGATCAGATCAGAGGGCTATTACATTGCCCAATAATAAGTTTTATTCTGTGTGTGTGGTTATGCACTCAAAAAAATGTTTTCTTGAATTGTGTCATCAAGTTCTTCAAGTACTCCAATAATAATTTCTCTTTGTTACATCTTTTCTTTTCTTCTTCTCCTTATTCTCACCATAGATAGAGACATCCACAACAACCTTTCGATTCGACTTACAATTGACAACACATACAAACAAGTGACACTACAAGAATAAATGTTTCTTGAAAAACCATATCATCAGATCAGGGAATCTGCCTGGATTCTGTGACTTGCAATGCTGATTCCTTGTCCCTTGTCTCTTCCACTTCATGGACTACTTTCTGCATTTCTTTGTTCTTCCCCCACAGCAGAAAGTACAACCCCACAATCACAATTGCCGATCCTATTAAGCTGATAGATGACCAATCAAAGTATTAGTTGGGGCTTATCAGTAAAACAATAATCACTAAAAATTATCATCACCTCCCGAGATACAGCTGTTCGTGTAGAATGGGAATGTCGACCATGCCTGCCATGACTTGGATGAGGGGACTAAAGGCCGCGGTGAAGACCGGCCCCCTCTTCTTCACACACCACGACATCCCCACGAAACACAACCCCGAACTCACTGAACCCTGCAACAAGTCTTATGTTGTTGGCGGGTACTAGGAAAAAAACGAAAAAACGAAAACAATGATGATAGTTAGGACTTACATTATAGATGACATATAACATGTCAATCTTTTTCTTTGGCATCCAAATGGAGAGGTTTCTGTCGGTGCAAAACGCGAGGACAGCAGCCTGGATGGCACTAAAGAAAGTCATAATAGCCGTGCTAGAATACTGGCACGGATAGCTCTTGGCAATACTGGATTGCAGGAGGAACCACGACGACCAAAATAGAGTTCCAGCAAGCATTGCTAACGAGCCAATAGTCCATCTCTCTCGTCGTTGGGAGGGGCTCTTCATCACGGCCTCTCCAAGAGAATGGTTTATGGGCTGTGAGCCTTGAAATTTGACTAAAGGCAAGCCTTTGTATAATGTCAATATGAGGGCACCTCCAAGGCATATTACTGTGCCAATCACTTTGGCCTTCCCACTCCTACTCCTAATGTTCATAGTCTCTAACCTGTCATCACACTTTCAGAGTTTCAGCTTCTTCGATAAGTGGAAAAACAACAACAAAAATTATAGTACGAAACTGAACATACCCGAAAGGTAATGCCATTAAAAACGTGATGACAGGAACCATGTTAAGGAAAGCACAAGAAAAAGTCGCAGAAGTGTACTCCATACCAACAAGGAACAAGTATTGAGTAACAGAAGCGCTGCAAAATTTGCATAACGTGAGGGACTAAACATGAAAACGACATGTTCTAAGCATATACATATATACTCACCCAACAATCGCGCTCAAGAAAAGGTGACACAAAATGCGTGGCGTGAGCTTTGGCCTACTGTTCCTGCAAACAAAATCATGGTAAGAACAGCAGGCAGGGCAGTTGGTCCAGGGTCAAAAGCCAGCATATATATATATATATACCTTTCCAGAAAGAAGGCGATGGGGGCTAAGAAAATGGTCGAAATTGACTGCCTGTAAGTGATGAACACCAAGTGTTTCATACCATCAACGATAATCTTCTTGATAAGTACATTACTAGTGGCGAACGCGAAATCTATGGCGATCATTAGCATGACAGGGAACCATTCCACACAGCTCTTCATCTCTGATCTTTGCTTGCTAGCTGAGGTTGAAGAAGGCATCATGTATCAGAGGCTCTATATAGAGAGGAATTGAAAGAGTTGGCTCTAAAGCTAGCTGAGGTGGGGTTAAAATTCTAAAAACATCACATCAATGCTTTTAAAACTATAAGAAAACATTATATTAGTTTAAAACATATACTCCATCCTTTTCACTGGAAAGCAACAGTTCTTCCCTTTTGTTTGCTGTTGATAGATCCCAAACAGCAGCTGGATAGTTGTCTTAGAATCATTTTCTCTTATTAGTCTACATGTTTGACCTTCAACTCCTAACTAGCCTTGTGAACCTAGCCAATAAACCAGCATAAGTTGTCTATAGCTGACCAGCTCCACTGTAGCCGGCTACCAGACCAGCCTAAGTTGTCCATAGCTGAGGCCGCATTTTAGTTGACAAACCAGTCTAGATTGCTCATAGCTGACCAACTCAAACCAAGAAAGTCAACAGACTGCTCTTAGAGGGAGTCAAACTTAGAACTTTGTAGTTACTAAACCAACAGGCGGACCCCGGCCTGCAAATTGCAAATTTGCAATGTTGGATAAGTGCCACAAAAATGTGACAACCAACTAACACAAAATTTGGTCACTACCTTGTTGGGCGGAGGCCTGCAGGAGCAAGTCCAACATCTCGCTACCCGATTTGGATTCGAATTGCGGGGTTGATTTATAAGGAAATTTCAATTCTGTCTCCACTATCAACACAAATTTGTATTATAACTTTTAACATAATACTCAGTAGTAAGCACTTGATCCTGGCGTAGTAGTCGTATGAATTTAAGGATTCCTTTGGCTTTGGATATATAAGTGGAGTGCATACAGAAAGTTATCAATCTGCTGGGAGATCATTCTATATTAGACAGGTTTCTGTACACAACAGTGAGGGCATATTGTGAGTGGGATAAAATAGAAGAAAGATTATGTCCCCTTTCTCTCTCTCTCTCTCTCTAACAATGGATTTGCAGCATCTAATGCACCATTTCTCATCCTACCTTTGCCCTAATTAATCAGCATTGCCATGGCATCTAATGCTGCTAATGCAAAAGCATCTTACCTTTTCACATCAGATCTCAACTAATTAATTCAGTGTCAACTTAAATTATTATTATCATCAAATCAAATTACATCTAAAATATCCTTTGAAAAACACACTAATCACTTCATTTACAATACTGGAGCGTATGCGGGAGACACTTGATTAAGGAAATCCAATTCCTGTCACTCACCCATCCCATCAGATCCACTGGGTGCAGAATTGAAGGAAGCATCTATATATCTATCTATCTATCTATCTTCATCGGAACAGAAAACTAACGAGAAATCACTTTCCTCCCATGAATATTTAACAATGGCAAGTACGTGTTTGCACACGTGAAGTAGCTTTTCATATCTCCATCTGAGAATTAGTATTATCTGGGAATGGAATATAATATAATGCACCTCTCAAAGTGTCGAAGTGGTGCAACAACCTTAGCTTTTTCAAAGTTAGAGATGCCAATTGCCATGAATAAATTAAAGACAGACCACCCTCACCTACATTTACTTAATGATATCCTTAGCTAGAAATTGTAGTTTTTCAATTCCGACATGTTAATTATGAGGCAAATAAATGAGTGGTGCGGATTTTGTTTAAGACTACTGATTCTATTACAATGTAGTAGTATTTGTTCATAGATATTTTCTCAATCTATTGAAGTACAAAGAGACAAAAGAGTCAATGCCCTCATTGATGTTCGAACTTATAACTTCCTATTTGGGAGAGCTACATGCCTACATAAGTGTTGTTGAGCTATAAATTACTTGATGTGCTAATTAAATGATAACGAATTTTTGAGATTTACAATTAAATTTTTACATGTTTGATATTCTTTCGAGTGAGCTCCGCCTCTCTAATGACGGATCATATTGGTGGGACTTTAGTACGTACTTTACTATATTTCTTGTCCACAAAAAGGGAAACTTTGTTTCCCGAAACTCCACACCTCAAACTATCATAATTATGGATGAATAAATCACGATAACCTATTAGGTAGGACTTTCTTATATTTCTTGTAGGTGTTTTCGTGTATCTTTTTATTGTATTGAAAACAGATATTTAAAATGAGATAATAGTCAAATAAGTCCTCCAACTATATATTAAAATGTAATTAGACTTTTGAACAAAAATACATTGAATTAAATCCTTAAACTTATTATTATTATTACTACTATTATTATTTGCTTAGACTGAAATTATACTCATTGCAAGATGACATAATTTTTGTAAATTTTTTTTTTAAATATGATGACATGGGTTGTAAGCTTGCAACTCTGTCAAAAGGTTGCGGTAGCCTTTTTTATTTTTTTATTTTTTTAATTTTATTTGTTTTATTATTGAATATTTTATTTATTTTGTTTTGATGTGATGTAAATGTGTGACTCTTTTTGAAAGTGAAATAATATTATAGGGACGTAGGTAAAATAGTAAATGAATTGTAAATTTAGTTATGTGGAAGTAGGATCCACTTTTGAAAGTGAGAGAGTGTTATGTTGCAGGAATAAAGATAGTCTTACATGTATTGCAAGATTGCAAAGGATAAAAAAAGCTGCCAATTGGTAGTCTTTTGTACTTTTCTCTTCTTTTTATCGATTAGTTTTATTTATTTATTATTATTATTATTATTTTAATGTGATGTAAAATTGGGATGCACTTTTAAAAGTTAAATGGAGTTGTAGGGATGTAAAAAAGAAAAAAAAAAGGAAAAAAAAAACTTGGAAGGTGTGGTTGAGTGGAAGGGATTCATCCATCCTTAATCAAAGGTTAAGGGTTCAATCATTGGCTTAATTCAGCGAGGGAATTAGTCATTGTGTCTAGCGGTGAAAACTCTGGGTCCATCCAAAAAAAAAAAAGATGTAAAAAAATTAGTGATAGAATTACAAATTTGATAATGTGATAGGGATGTTAATTGCATTTTTAATAACTTTACAGGGTGAGGTCTTTTTAGTTCAAGGGTCTAATTGCATTGTGTATGTAGTTGGAGGGCATATTTAACCACTATCCTTTTAAATGGACCATTTTGAAGTATACTTTTGAGTCGGGTTCACTTTGATTTGGATCGGGTCAAAGTAGATTCTTCTCGTCAAATTATTGTGCGGACCATGGTCCACATAGTTGTGTGGAGTGTGGACCATGAATGCAATATACATTTTTAATATACTAAAAGTACATTATTTGATAATATATATTAAAAAAAAAACATATACTTTCAAATAATATACTTTTTATTTATGGTTCACACAAATGTGTGAACCATGGTTCATGGAATAATGATTGATTCTCCCCTTGATGGATGATTGAATGGAAAAATTAATTTTCAAAATGTACATATTAAATTATTGAAAAAAAAAAAATAAGGGTCAAATAGGCCATCGAACAGCACACGATAATGCAATTAGGCCACTGAACCTAAAAAATCAACAATTGAGTTCCTAAACTAACCAATTTCAAACAATTCTTCCAATTTGTAAGTTTCCAACAGGTTAACAGGTCATCCTCCCAAATTAATTATTTTTTAAAAAAATAAAATTTAAAAATTAATTATTTAAATAATTAAAAAAAAAAAATAAAACAGAATCGTGCCGGAGACGAAGATTTTCTTCGTCTCCGGCCATGGAGACGAAGAGTTTCTTCTTCTCCATGGCTGGAGACGAAGAAACAGGCCGGAGACGAAGGTTTCTTCGTCTCCGGCTGGAATCTGTTTTTTTTTTTTTAATAATTAATTTTTAAATTTTATTTTTTAAAAAATAATTAATTTGGAGGATGACATATTGGAAATCTTCAAATAGGAAGAATTGTTAACAATTGGTTAGTTTAGAGACTCAATAGTTGATTTTTTGGATTCGGTGGACTAATTATATTATCATGTGCAGTTCGATGGCCTATTTGACTCTTATTCAAAAAAAAAAAAAAAAAAAAAAAAGAATTTCAATAATAATAAAAAAGTCTCATATATATTAAAAAGTGGTGTGAATTTACACTAATATAAATACAATTTAATTTTTTAAAGTGGTTATGACAAGTCAAAACTGGTGTAGGGGTAAAAGAAATTCGATTAAGAAACACCCTTACGGAAGTACCCAAAATTCTTACATTGGCAAAAGGTTGGATCATTGCACATGGGTTTAGAACTTTAGTTCCTAGCCGTCAAATTTTTTTATTTTTTATTTTTTATTTTTAGAAAATTACAATTAAAAACGCAACCTTCTTTACTATTATCCAAATATATCAAAGCAATTTCAACGGTTCAGTGTTGTTGTATGTGCCGTGTGCGCAATGCATGCACTGTTTTTAATCGGTATCGTATCAATTTTATATTTGATGATACAAAAGTTTGATGTGCAATATGTAATAATTTTGTTGGTGTATTATATTATGTATTTATGTACTTTTTTACTTTTATCTTTTTTGGTAAACACATGATATAATTGTATTGAGCATACGATATTGTTATGAATCGTATTTATATAAATTACACTACGATTTTGATATATAATGCATTAGTAGTACCCAAAGTATACTGTATATTATACTGTCAAATCAGCACCAACTAATGAACCACATCAAATTTTACATTTATCTTATAGTTAGTGGTATGTTATATCCTTGTTTTCATGATTATTAACTACTAATAGCAAATCAGAATGCGTTTTCGCTTTGAGTTTACGCACCAACGTCGCTTTTTTCTTTTTAACCTTTTCCAAAAATAAAAAAAAATAAAAAACCCTCTTTTGGAGTAAAAAACATTTCCCCTTCGGTCAATAGCCCTTCTTGGTGGTCTAGGCCTCTAGGGTCCCTGGTTTGCTTCCCGTCAGCCATCCTGACCGTCCATTACCTTTGAAAGCAATCCTTACCCTGACAAACCTTAGTTTTAAGCAGCGCAACACCAGAAAGAGTCAAAGGTACCACACGAACGGACTAAGCAACAGGTCCGAAGGAGTAGTAGCGTCTGGTGTGGGAGCTACTGGAGCAAGGAGTAGTTAATGGGAGGACCA